ACTGGTTATACTGTGGTGGCACTATCTAAAATTCCAAGAATTTTTCGAGAATCCGGAAAACCGAAAAAGCATTAGGAGAACAGGAGAACATGATCGGCAAAGAGCACTATCTAAAATTCCAAGAATTTTTCCAGAATCCGGAAAACCGAAAAAGTATCAGGAGAACATGATCAGCAAGGAGGTGGCACTATCTAAAATTCCAAGAATTTTTCAGCATTTCCAAGAATTGGAATTCCGAGAATTGCATCACTGCAGGAGTTGAGTCTCCTGGTCTCTAGGTCTTCTTGGTGGCCGTGTTGGCTCCACAGATATCTATATCTGTGGTTGGCTCCCTCTGGAGTCATGAACCATTAACAGAATAATTATAATCTAGTCTTCTTGGGTCTAGGTATTTTCTACGTCCATGGTCCAGGCATTTTCTTACGTCCATGAGGGCGCTTCTCAGTCGATAGGCACTAGACTATCGATAGCTAGCCGATCGATCGAAGAGTGCGTATTTGCGCACACGTCGCGGTGCGTAGCTGTCATCGCCGTCGTTTTACCAAAGGAGCCGCAGGAGCTGTTAAGATGTTCGGTGAGCATGGCGCAATTTTTGCGGCTATCTTTTTTTATTTTCGAAAATGCTGGTCGAATGATGCGATCGGACGACGATTCGTCTGCGTGCACTTATCCTTATCCCTTTTTTATTAGGCTGTTGCTGGTGTTTCGCTGCCTTGCGTCCGAGATACAAGAGGCTCGTCGACAATATTTTTCCTGTTAATCCCCAGGTGAGATTCCCGTCTCTTTTTCTATTTTTTCTCCCTCTTGTCTCGTTCGTTTCCGTCCAGCACAATTTATAGTCCCGTTCGCGAGTAAATCAATACCGAAACGCTGTCCTTGACACCAGTCGCGAGATCAAAATGATTATTCTATTTATGGTTGAACCTGTGATATTTGCGGCGAGCGAGAAATCGACACGTGTGTCGCACGCGACAGTCTGCCGTATTAATGCGCTTCTCCGCTCCGTAGGACGGCTTGGTCAAGAACAATATGGAGAAACTGACATTCTATTCGTTGAGCAGTCCTGAGAAATTGGACAGGATCGGGGAATACTTGTTCCAGCGAGCCTCCAGGGATATTTACAGGTGATGTCGAGGAGTGTGATGTAATAACATCCTTCGTTAGTGTAGTATACACAAATGGTTACGTTGTAACACTGTTTATATAAGTAATTATATGCTGCATAAAAACCTGAGAAATTAATCCTAATTACTGCTGCTAACATGACTGGCAATAATTCACTATCTATCCGGCGTGCACCTGTAACTGATGTATAAGACAAAAGTCCTGCCTGATAAGGAATGTGCCCCGATAGGAGACGAAACGGCTTTGTCGTGATCGCCATGGAGGCCATGGACCAGCTTCTCGTGGCTTGTCACGCGCAAACTCTGAATCTGTTTGTCGAGAGCTTCTTGAAGATGGTACAGAAATTGCTGGAGTCCACGGATCCTCAGTTACAAATTCTTGCGACGCAGTCCGTAAGTGATGATCGTTAGTAGAGTAAAACATTAGCGTTGCCAGGCCTAATTTAATGCGTCGACTTTTAGTTCGTCAGATTTGCCAATATCGAGGAAGACACGCCCTCGTATCACACCCGTTACGACTTCTTCGTGTCGAAATATTCGGCGATGTGCCACTCCAATAACGACGATCCCACTACACGCAAGCAAATTAGGCTTGCCGGGATTCAAGGACTGCAGGTATGCATTCGTAAAAATGCAAATTACATGTATATTTAAATGTATATTTAAATGTCTATTTTTATGCAGGGCGTTGTGAGAAAAACTCTTTCCGACGACTTGGTCGAGAATATCTGGGAGCCTGTACATATGGACAAGATTGTACCATCGCTGCTGTACAACATGCAAAATGCAAGGTAATTTAAAAGAAATGTATATTATGAAACGCACCGATTGACGAATTTGTACTTTTAGATATGCTAACAAGGAAGACGCAACACCAGACAGCCCAACTGAAGAACGATCAGATCCACCGCAATTCGCGGAAACTTGCATGCGAGAATTAATCGGGCGCGCATCGTTTGGTCATATTAGATGCGTTATAAGACCTGTATTGAGGTATGGAACAGGCTCTCTCTCTCTCTCTTAGGAATTATTATATATTCGTGTAAACATTGTTTTAATAATTATCTATGTTACAGGCATCTGGACAACCACCAGTTATGGGTCCCGAACTACTTTGCAATTCATACTTTCAGAATAATTATGTTTTCTATTCAGGTACGTAAGTTCAGGATTTAAGTGGAGTGATACTTGATACGTTTGATGATTAATAATATTATCTCTATGTATATTTCAGTCGCAATATTCCTACACAGTAGTGGAAGCTTTAATGACGCATCTTGACGATCACTCAAAGTCGTCTCCTAAGATTCGAACTAGCATTGCGGATACTTTATCCAAGATTATATCAATCGCTGCAGGTGAAAGCGTTGGTAAGTAGATACAGAGATGTTAAATGGATCTGGTATAAAAATTGTATTGTCCAGTTAATATAAATTTATATATACAATAATAACTATTAAATATCAAATAGAGATTAAGTCCTGCTGCTCTTTCTAATGTTTTACGTTCTTTCTCCAGGTCCATCTGTATTAGAGATTATAAATTCCTTATTGTCTCACCTACGGGTTAGTGTAACGAGGAACCAATCGTCAAGTAGCGACGAGCAACTGTATCAAGAAGCTCTTATTAATGCCCTTGGAGAATTCGCGAACCATCTTCCGGATTACCAGAAAATTGAAATTATGATGTTTATTATGAGTAAAGTTCCGTACAGTCAGCCAGATCGTATCGTGTCGGTCGGCAAAGGAGACGTATTGCTCCAGAGCATACTTTTAAAGTCGCTACTGAAGGTAAATCATTTATTATTGCCTACAATTGTAAACGTAAAGTATAAGTTCAACCATACGTATTTTGTTCATATACAGGTTGGCACCAAATACCAAACTATCCACTTGAACACAACATTCCCGCCTAGTTTCTTGGACCCGTTACTGAGAATGTCACTGGCTGCAGACGCCGAGATGAGGCTCCTTGTACAGAAAATATTCCACACCTTAATCGACAGACGACGAAATATTACAAAACTCGCTAAACCAACGTAAGTTCGTCTCTTAGCCAACAAATTTCACCCGCAAACGTTAATCTATTACAAATATTTCGCTTCTTTTTTTTTTGTGCGACTCTTTGGGAATAATTGTTTCTCGTTTTTAGTGTGAACGTAGCAGAGCTTGATCTTGCTATTGAAAAAGCATCTAGACCTGACGTAATCTTTATTCGAAAGCACGGTCCCGAAATCTACTTGGCGCTGTATGAATCATTAGAGCTAATTAGTAACACGGTAGAAAATGTGGAATCTATTTATACTACTTTGGCGTTATTGGCCATTGAATTGGCTTCTGAGGAAACGGTGTTGGAGTTACTAAGATTGGTGCTGAGCCTGCAAGACTTGGCACTGACAAGTGCTCAAATTAATCTTCCACTTAAATTCAACTTACACGCAATAGTGATCAGCCTACTAGTCTTAATATCGTATGTCTGTAATATTACCGCTCTTATGGAATACGCGAAGAAGGTAAGTCGACTTTAACAATTTGATATTAAAGTTACGATGTACTGCTAAAATTAAAAGCTCATTGATACAATCAAATGCGTTTTAAGGTGATAGAAGCGCGTCGGAACGATAGTCCGCATTTACTACCGGATTTACAATCTCAGTATGACATTGGTCTAACGTCGAGATTAGCGCCAACTCTTTTGGTCGATCAAACTGTTGTTAGCGAATGCCTAAAGGGAGCTGGCCTTGATAGTGGGAAATTACAACAAGGTTCGGGTTACAGCGGCAACTCTTTACAACACAGGTAATTGTCCAAGTGATCGGTAGTCAGCTTTAGACATTAATTAAGCATTAGAAAATGTCGCTTTGTTTTATACCCAAGTTGTATAATGTAAAATTAAATTTTCTTTGCTAGGCACTCGTGGGTTGATGCTGGACGGAATTCACTAGCTGACATTAACTCTGGAGGACCCGAATTGGATAGCGGAGGTTCATCGCCTGGTGTGCAAAAGGTACAATTTACACTAAATTAGTAGGAGTCGCGATTGTTTAACACGACTGTTAGAGTTATTATTTTTCAAATTCTTTTTATTATTGTTGCAAAATTTTAATTATCTGAAAATTTTTGCAGAAATTACCTGGAGAAGAATTAACGTTTGAGAGTATGAAAAGAATTTTGACAGAGAATAATAATAATGAAGTAGTAGAAGAAGAGAAGCGAATGCAACTTTCTCAGCTCTTTAGAAATGCGCCGTTCCAGGATTTAGTGTCAAAAACACAACCGAAGGTTGTTCATTAATTACCGTATATACATATTATTAACAATTACCGTAGCTAACGCAGCATCCTAATCTTTCCTTTTCTATCTACAGCACGATGTTCTACAGAGCAAATTGTCAGAGATATTCAATACATTGTCCGTTGATCCGCGCAACGCAGTTCCTGCGACAGGACCACAGGCGGATACTAAACCAAGTCAAACACCAGCTTATGAAATTCATTTCCCAGAGCTGTTTGTATATTAAACTGCTAGTATTCTTGTTGCATTAACATTAACGTAGTGTTATATTATATTAAATCCTCTACATGTTACAAAGTATAAACAGTAGCTCCTATACGTTAAAGATTGACTTATGTACATAATAGAGAAAATATTTTTATGTTTCATATTGTTAGATATATATTTTATATTGAGGTTGATAAGTTATTCGTACTTATTTACTTTTAATGAGTTGATGTCAAACGTGATGTGAACTATAATGAAAATGGTTAATTAGTATTTTTCATAAAATCGCCAATGGTTTTATCAGGTGATGTATAAATGGACATGAATCTCTTATATACACATAATTCTATAAAATCGTCGAAGATTTTAGAAAATTACCGAATTAACTGTTTTCATCGACGTAGGCTGACTCCGATTAATATGTCGATACTGGATGAAGAGCACAAAACGAGAAACAATTTCACACAAGTATTGTCATAATGAGGAGTCATCCTACATAGATCAGATTTCAGCAAGAATTAAGACTAGATAATCTGGATGTATACGTTCGGCAGTAGTTAAATGTGCACTGTTATTTAATCCTACCTCTTGTTAATGTAAAGTTGAAAATTGTATATCTGTTTAGGCGATTTTTGGCCATTGTTTGGTACATGTACTAAGGTTACTGTTGATAGGAGGGGGCGGAGCCACAGATATAGATATCTGTGGGCGAAGCTTATCCTAATATATACATCGCAACTATATTTCACTGAAACATACTAGTTCTTTTCTATACGCGCGAATTCAAAACTATTCTTGTGCTTATAGTATACAAATATGCACACGCTGTGATTGAAATACTGATCTAACAATAAGATAAATTTAACACGAAATAAATGTGTAAGATATGTTGTGTTTACATATCTTTATTTCTTTATATTGGCATTTGATTTGCATTCTACTAGAAACTCGCAGCAAGTAGCAGTTCTGTCTCATTGCCAAGTACAGCCTGGTGTCAACCGGCTAAATACCAAAACGGTTAGACACGTCTCTAACCACAAGTTATCAGGCGCACAAAGGTGCTCCAATACGGTTGGATAAACTTTCAGTTGTTGTAGTCACGCCAAAAATCGCCCTTCATGTATATTCTAGATCGGAAAAAAGAACTTTCTCTCACGGCAGAGTCTCGGTGATTGAAAAAGATTGCACAATATATATATTTATAAATATAGAAAACAAATGGTTCGAGATATTTTGTAAACACATATTAAAACGCATGTTGTCAACCTGGAAAAAGATTTATTATAGTGCAATGCTTATCCTTCTTACATTTGTCTCCAGTTACTTGTTCGTATATGAAAGAAAATGTTGTATACACTTTTTGCTTGAGGGAACAGAGCAATTTTTTATTGTACTTTATGAAAACCTGTAGTGTTACATTACCAATTGTTCTTTCCTTTATTGAATCTTTGTATAAAATACTCGAAGGATCGCCAAATACGTGTGTAAATGGAATGAACACAGGTCGAGATATATTTCGCAAATATCTGGAGGGTCCCTTTATTCAACCGCTCATCATAGGAACACGGTTAGTCGGTCACAAATCAAGTACACAAATTAAGTAGCATCTCTTGGAGAGCAGGTAATCGAACTACATATTAATACACGGACCTTACAGTTCTAACAACTATGCGACAATGTTCGAATATTGATCGGCAATTTATACATTGTATAAATTGTTACATTGTGCCCGCGCGAGGTCGCGGAGACAACGTTCTCAACACCTCGTATATTACCTTCGCGAAGAACATTCGCAAATATAGCTTTTAATGTACGAGCGATTGAATTAAGGCATTAGAGTAGGATGTGCCATTCGTGCGACGACTACTTAACATAATTTGATGAGTTTCTTTTTTTTTCCTTTTTCTCTTTCTCGTATTGAAATGCGTTTGGTCAAGTTTGGTACACTTTAAGAGGTATTTCAAGGCTCCACCTTCAGCAGCTCCACATCGAAGATGAGAACGGCATTTGGTGGGATAGTGTGTCTATGTCAAGGCTAATATAGCTTAACGTCTGCCTCTTTCTATCATATAGAACAACTGTACCCGCAACAAAATGTTTCCCGTGATCCGACTCGATTGTGGGATAACGTTTAGCTCTGGACGAAACGAGTGATCAATAATAAAAGGTCGGTTCGATCCCAGCACATATTTTCCCGTTAAGGGAAAGTTCAATATTGAACATTTAAAAGAATATCCCACCCACTCCATCCCCAAAAAATCAAACAAAATACAAATTTCCTTTACATTTCTTTAAAATGTTTCCAGTTCGCGGGTTCGACTCTACGTTACGGCGGTTTGCATTAAAGGATATATTCCAGGGTGGCCTCGGCTGCCGTAAGCGAAGTCTGGAGAACAGGTAAGTTTGGCTCGCTGCCCGACGCACATTTGTGCGACTCCTTGGTCCCAGCCTTTAATCACCTCGCCCTTGCCGATTTTGAACTTGAACGGTATGCCGCGGTCCCTGCTGGAATCGAATTTCTTCCCGTTGGCGAGGGTACCTGTTACCAAACCGTGCGTTAACGACAATGGCGATCTGTCCCGATCCTACAATTTTGTGAAATTATCTACAGAGGAAGACACTCGGTGCTACAACGCCGTCGTACAACAGCAGTTTTTCTCATTTCTTTCTCTCGAGCGTTCTCCTCTGTCGCTTCCTGGTATACAAGTATAATTCAAAGTGCCAATCCAACGCGATCAAACATTCACCTGTATAGTGCACGACCACTGTCTGCCCGGTCTTTGGATAGGTCTGACCTGCACATATAAAAATATATCGTGAATAACGCTGAATGACGAAACCGAGCACGGCATCGCCATTTAAAATTGGTAACGGCGCACAAATAAGGTAAAGCCGCGTCGTCCTCAGGATCCATTTTACCACGGACAGGAAAGGTCGCGGCACCGGCCGGCGCTCGTTTGCGGCATTTCAGGCCGCGAGGCGAGGCCGCGGCTTGATTTAACGAAGCGCTAAATTTTCGGAGCATCGAGCACGCGGTGTGGCACGCGCGCGCGCGCGCGCGTGCACGATAGAGAGGGCGAGAGGAAGAGGGAGCGAAACTGGGGGAAAGAGAGAGGGAGAGAGAGAGGTTCCTCCGAAGGGAGCGAGAACGGCGAGATTCGGCGAGTCCCTGGAAAAATAAAACCTGTATAATTACCATCTCCGGGACACAAGACTTCGACATCCACGCCCATGGCTACGTGATCCGGTCTCTCCGTGAAAGGCGGAAGGGTTTTCTGCACTCGGGATGGCGAGGTGTGCGCGCGCGTGCGGAGATCGGGACTCGGCGGTGTCGACTTACGTCGGAGGAGCGCGACCGTGCGAAACGAGACCCGCCGTGGAAAGGGAAAACGCGGCGCCTCGGGAAACGATGCCGCCGCTCCACTACGCCGTTCAATGAATACAGGCCGAGAGCGCACGGGATACCTAGACCACCAACCGTGCGACGCGCGCGCGAGAGTGCACGTCGAACGAGGCCGGCAGATGGCGGCTCGGCGTTCGCGCGGGATTTTTGTCCGGGACTGCTTTCGCGGAGATCAAAACGATCCAAGATTGAAATGACCTTGCGCTGTGATTGGTCGAGTCTGAAAAATTTCGTAGCGTCACATTGAAATTTTATTCAATGGAATTCCAGATTTGACCAATAGGAGCACAGGGTCATTTTGATCTTCTCGCGCGAAAGCAGCCCGGAAGAACGAACGAACGCGTGTTCGACGAGTTCGCGTTCATTTCTACTGCAATTTCGAAAATTTGAATCTAGAGAAATCTTGTTAGAACTGGAAATAAGTTCAATCGAGATTAAAGTTAATCTACTTTTAGAGAAATAGATATCAAATATTTCCTCGACGCCTTTTTGTTTTTGCAAATAACTTTAGTTTAATTTCTCATGATTTAATTACCGATATACAGTAATTTTCTAGTAATTGTTTCGTTACTGGTAGTTCGTCGAGATTGAACAATCACGCGTTTGTTGTCGGAACGTTCAGTATTCGATAGGAGAATCTGTTTCCTACGAAAATAATATTAATTGGAGTCTCTGGATTCTGTCTTTCTATTGGATTTCTCTGAAAATTTAGCGCTATGACATTTACAATTATCTCTTGCGCGTTCAATCCGGAAGGCTTTAAAGACGGAAGCGTCTCTCGCAGTCTCGGCCGATTTGCGTGCACGATAATTCGATTAAAAAATGCAAATTGTAAGCGTAAAATCATGTTACGACGCATTGTCGTCTCCGACTGACAGATAAATTAATCGTTATCTGAAGAACGTATCTCGAACGCAGATACGTGCTTTGATAAATCGAACGAAATTCAACTTAATCGTCTTCGATCTTCAGTCGCCGCGATAACGTCATTTACTTTTAGACTCATTTACGTAATTTCCAGGTACGCGGTAGCTTGACACAACATTGATAACGACTTTTCGGGGCCGGACAGACTGTATCAACACACACATATATAATTTTCTATATGTATAGTACATATTATATCATTATATGTATCTCTCTCTCTCTCTCTCTCTCTCTCTTGTGCTAATACCATGAATATGCGATTCACAATCAAATGTAAAATCTAATCAGATAATTCTGAAGATAAAAATTTTTGAAATTTTCTTGCAGATGTCGATTTTTACTTCACACTTCAATTTAAAGAATTAGATTTTAATAGTTTTTGCCCTCTCTCTTTGCTCATAAAATTCGTGGGAAAATGAAAATTGCACATTCACTGGCATAAGAGCGACGATATATACACGAAATTATATACAATTATATGCATATAATAAAGATAAATATTTTGGTTTTTAGTATAAACACTCGAGGGGATAAGCATCTTTCTTCTCTTTTAGTGATTGCACGTTGGATTGGTCGATTTCAAATCCTCGAGCGAGATAAAATATCAACTGTCTGTACTAACAATCCCCCCGCGAACAAATCTTGAATCAGGTGCTCGCTCGTCTAATCAGTCATTCATCTAATCGGACACCGCCAATATCAGACTTCACCGGTTTAAGGACCCCCGTTAACTCGCCACTCGAGCTTTCTGCGTCGCGATGTGTCATCCTCCTATTGCACAGAATTACAACATGTACCATATTATATCGACGCTCGAACGATTGTTTCAGTGGAACGGCTCTGCGCGGTATTGATATTGCATACATTCCCCTCGACCGTGGCTCGACGTGGCTCGACGTCACTCCACGTGGAACTAAAAATCACGTTACGCACACGCGGCACAGCACGAGCTTTGCGATGGAATTATCGAAGGAATTGCCGGGAAAAATTGTCGAAAGGTCGCACATGTAACGCTTGCGCTGATCCATTAAAAATATCTAATATCTTTTCATTCGCTTCGCCAGCAAATCCAGATCTCTTTTTTTATAACGGAGGAAAAATGATGCGCACGAGGAAAATATATGCGTCTACTGGAGACAAGTTGGTAAGAGGAAAATTCACATCTTTCCGAGATAAATTATCGGGAAGTCGAACGAAAGACGTTTCATGTTGAAATTATTCGCGCGAGAATGCGATATTCCCGACTCAACATCGGTAAGAATAGAATAATTGCCTCTACGTTCCTCGCTCGTATTTGCTGTACTTAACTTACACGGACGAGACTTACTGGAGCAGACGGATTAACGGATAATAAATGTTAATACTCTTAAGACTGTGTACATGCTGATCTTATATTGTATTATGTTTTTTACTTGATTAATCATGATTAATTGACAATATATAATAATAGTTACAATAATATTAATAATAATAATAGAGTAATAAAAAATTAATTTTCTTCGGTTCTTGTGACAGCTGCCTCAATGCTGCACAGTTCCTAGCAGTCCTACAGAGTTTACATTTATTTCATGCAAATGTTTCGAAGACTGCACTTGTGTGCCTTGTATAGTACACATTTGTTGTACAGTCAATTTTTTCCCTTATTCTCTAATGTTCTTTCTTTAATAATGCTTCAAAGTAGCGATTAAGAAAAAAAAATGCATAAACTTGCCCCGAGTAATATGCCCATAAGCCTTTTAAAGAAATTATTCACTTATCTCGAATATTCGAAAACTGAATCGTAGCGCACTTAAATCGATGCTCTCTACGTATGACCGCCTCATACATATACAGAAAGCGTGACGTATCTTTCTATTGTTACATTTACGTGTGCTCCGTCTATGTATAAATCTATGCCAGAAACGAATTATAGCTTTGTTCTATGTTAAATGCATCGAAGATCCACAGAAGATAAAGTAATGAGCAAGATAGCTTTTATGGACAGTTCTTTGTTGAAGCATTGACTTTTATAGTCAGAAATATATGTAGAAACTATAACGCGTTTCAGTACACAGATAATATACATGGAGACACGAATGCCATGTAAATATCTACCATTTGTTTTATGCATTATGCAACAGGAGAAATACTTGACGTTTACGAATATTAAATATCGATAGTAATGTCAGATGAGCCACGCTTAGCGTTCTACTTAGTTTACAATTCTTAATTATTAAGTGTATCTGTAATAAAAGCAAATAAAACAAGCAATTTCAAAGCATTGTCTGAACAAAAAATAGATTGTGTGTCAAACTATCTTAAAATTGGCATATAGATTCATTTCTGTTTGTGAAATTATGTATACGTAATATTTCAAAGTTTTAGAAAAAGAGATAAACGAGAAATTATGCTGTTTGAAAATTATGTTTGGACATTTACCAGACCTTTTTCATGAAATTAAAAAGAAATTGTTTTACACAACAACTGCATGCATCAGCTTTGAAATGCACATACGTATTCCAAAATTTGCGGAACTTTTATAAAATCGAGCTAATTCAGTGCCGTCTCGACATACTCGAAGATAAAATGCGGCGGGGGATTAGGGGTGTCTGTTAATATTTCAGGAGGTGCTAATTCCATTGGATCAGCGTCCCTCCACGGATCGATATCGTTTCCTCCAATATCTAGTCCGAGTCGCAAATTAGCTGGTGTATTGCCGATAACAAAGTGGTCCTCGGTCAAAGGTAGAGCATCTTTTAATAAAAGCCTATCAGGAGAAGCACCAATATAAAATTATTTCATTCTTCATTAAAAGAAAAAGGAACACGTAAAAACATAGCTGAACGCAGTAATGTGCATAATGAATATAATTTCCTTACCAAATCTCTTCATCAGCGACAATATGAACCTTAGGAATGGGAAAGCCATTAAACGGCGAAGCAACAGGCAATGTATAGGCCCCCATGTTTTCGAAAATCATCCATTCGCCAAGGTCCATATCGTGCAACATGATATTCTCAACGATTTTGTCCAGTCCGTCACACGTTGGACCCCACACGCTCGAAGGAATCATCTTTCCACAACCGTTCTAGAGGCCAAAGTGTAGGATTTAATTAAAACAAAAGAAAGAAAAAGAGCATGGAAAAATACTATATTGATACGTGATCCGAATAAAATACTTTACCTTCAGAGGAATAGGAGTTACATGTTGATGATCGTACAGCAGACAATTAAATGACCCGTAAACACCATCGTTGATGTAATACATATTGTGCGTAACAGCGCTGGTATTTTCGTCTCCGCGTATGGAACGTTTGCTGTGGATACTCGTGGCCAATGTAAAGGCAGATGCGACGTAAAAACGGCCCGGTTCGGCAATCACATGCACAGCATCGGCTGAACAAAATTCGTACCGTAAGGCGCGGTCCAAAACAAAGTAATATTACTTGTAACACGACTAATGTGGGGGAAGCAGCTTACTGTTGAAGTATTCGTCGAGAGCTTTATTAATAACCTCGGCGATTTTGTCGATGCTTGTGCCTTTGTTGCCCGGATAACCACCACCAAGATCCAAGAGGTATGGCTTGAAACCGAGATCGGTAGCCATGTCGAATAGTACCTTGCAGTGAAAAATAGCACGGTAAAACACCGGTGGATCTTCACATCCGGATCCAACGTGGAAACTGAAGCCCACTACGTTAAGGCCCAAGTTGTACGCAAGGCGCAGAAGATTAGGCGCCTCGTATGTCGGATCACAGCCAAATTTCATGCCAAGCGGGCACAGGGCTACTTCCGCATCGCAACGAATTCGCAAGACAACCTGCACAAATGAAGAATCGCATTGATATGATATAGATACTTTTGAAACCAGCGGCAGACGATGCCTCGTTTGCTCGCTGGTTTGCTTGCGTGCACCTTTGCTGGCCAGTGAGACGGCTCTCACCAGCCAGCAAAAAAGCATCGTATGCCGCTGGCTTGAGATAAAATTATCACAGATTTTTGAGAAAGAGAAACACGCAATATACTGGTATTCTGTATATTCTGGTGCGTGTACTTACCTTAGCCATTGGGAAAAGTTTCTTAATCTTGTGCAACTCGCTTTCGTTATCTACTGTCATAGTATCTACTCCCACTGCAGCAGCGTGACGAATATGTGAAGCTGGCTTAGCTGGATTGGCAAAAATAATCCTTGAAGGCTCTACACCAAGGCTCAATACTTTATTTATCTCATTCTGCAAAGTGAAAATATATATTTTATATCTGTTACAAAATGTAACAAATACATCTCTGTCGAGAGTAAAAATACACTTCAACATTTTTCAATCGTATTTACCTTAGATGCACAATCAAAATTAATGCCAAGGGCCGCTAATACTTCAATTACGATCAAATTGTCGTTGCATTTCACAGCTGAAATTGAACAACTTGTATGAGTGGCCGTGCACCGCACATGACACAAGCGTTGACAAGTTCCGAGTATTAACGACTTACCGTAATAGGGCTCGACTCGTGGCAATTTTTCTTTCCAGATTTGATGCTTTTGTACAATATCCCCTATATCCAATACATAGAAAGCTTCTTCTTGTAAACCACTCATTGCAATATCTTTCATAACGGTCATAACGTTGGACTCGCTGTCCAAAACGTGGATACGTTCATCTAGATTTGTTACCTTCATGTTGATTGAGTTTGATTGAATTACTTAGTACTCTGTAGGTGCTAGGCAGCAAACTGAAAGTTGGACAACGGACATAAGCGCAAAGTGTAAATGACGTCGACTTTATATTCTTTACGTTGCAAAATCAATTTAATATAATAGAAACATACGAGGCAGCTGTCAATGCTAATTGGGTGAGTCGTAAGGAAGCGGATTAAGACCAGATCACTGTGGGGGTGCTAGCAAAGCCACGGGGGCTCTGCATTCAGGGCCAACTTCCAGTTGCCGCAGTTATTCAAGCACCCACGGACAGACTGGTCGACCAGTCTATCGCAGATAGAATCCTGCAATGAGAAAAAGTGACATCTGAGTTAGCTAAATACCGCTACAAGATTACCGCACGGGAACTACCAATGTCTCTATACTCTATAGTAATTTGAAAAAAAAGGATGTGAACGCAAATAAATTTCAAGCCTCGTTATTAGTGAAGGAGAAAACGGCTGTTTAAATACGCGTTCATCAATTAGCCTATGACGTGATAAAATAATTCTATAATTATATATTCGCCAACATTTTATCTTATCCGTTTATCTCAATTTTATCACAATTTTATCACAAATCCGATATATCTAATGACGTTAAAACAATATGTGACTTACAAGAAAAAAAGTCGACATTACGTTTTCAATTTAATTTGTTCACTGTTCCATACAAGTTCTTAATGTACGAAAAGCCTACTCTCAGACTCTTTTACTTGCTGAAGTTAGATCCTACCTGAAGGGAAGTAATTCTCGTTTCTTTATATACACAGCGAAAGAAGTAATTATGTCACTATTTCGAAGTTTTGGCGACGTTTCTAAATTTTAGCGACACCTCTATCGCGCTTCATATGTGTGTGCGATGCAAAAGTAAAATATAAATGCTCCGCGAACAATTGGAAACGTAAGGCGCGTTAATATTGTGCACATGAGAGGCTTCGATCCGAGCGGACAGAAAATCAGAACGATACTGCACTCGAGACTATTTGGGCCTTTATTTATATGAGGAAGATAAGTAGTATCAGCCCGACTTCGCGTGGTGTACCAAGTCTACTTATACAAAATTATCTGACAACCAAGATGGTTCATCAGGAAACCGAATTAGACTGGAAGGATAATATAAATGTTACTCAAGAGTCAAACTCCATTCGGGGGTGGGAAATACCGTCACTAATCTGCGTAGCATGACTGATTATTTATCCGGAGCGTTGTATCAAAGATTGATATATCACGAATCGAATGTATTTAATGGTTAAAAATAACGCGAAAATTCCCACGGAAGTAAATATTATCGGGCGATGCAAGATACGATGAGATAAAAACTTGTATACGCATTTTCAGTTAAATATCTTAAGATATATTACCGGGTTCCAAAATACATATATTCCCACACCCCGAATTTTAAATCATTTAAAGAGATTTCTCTTTCTTAAAATGTTTTCCTGTATACGCTAAAAATTTCTTGTTACAAGTTCATAAAGCGTATAGGAATGGTTTAAATTCTCGCTTCCTGATGCAAAAAAAGCAGGTAACGACATCGAATTGTGTATGAAAGTCTTGTAAAGTTGAGATTGCCAAGTTCATCAAACCTTGTTTCATCAAACAAATTCACATACAAAGGGGAGTTCTTACGTAACATAACAATGGCTTCCGCCGGTTTGAAGAGGAAATACTGGTGTGAATGAGATAGTGCAAGTCTCAAGATACGAGTAAATACGGCTACTGGCCATTCTACAGACATTGATGTTAAAACACGTGGTGCAAAACGAGCGAGAGAATTTGAAAACATGTCTTATCGTCGTTATAGAGATTAAAAGTTTTCATATGCTATAAGGATAAGACGCTTCAGCTTGTCGAAAAAAAAATGTACAAAAAAGTTACAAGATAAGAATTAAATTAATTTCTATTCTAATTAAATTAATGAAATTAATTTCTCTTCCATCTTTGAGATACAATCTTTATTCTGAGTAGGAAAAGGTGTGTTTAGAAAAGTTAATAAAACTTTCTAAACACGTAACGATAATTAAATGGCAAAAGCAATTCAATAAACAATTTTAATATATAGTGGAAAGTCCTCTGTTATGAGATAGGCTTATAATATGAGATAGCAGTTCTACTTGGCACGCTATACTTATGACTGTTAATCAGTTTTTTTTTCTTTAAGTTTACCCTCTTGTGGGAACGCCTTTCAACCTTTAGGTTTGCATCAGCGTGGTATCTCCTAAAAATTCCTTGAAATTCAACCTTAATTTTGATTAAACGCTGAATTTTCATCAAAATTTTATCACGAATCTTTATTTACGATTACACGACCGAACAATGAATTTTTCGCTAAACAGCTTTCGCTCCATGGGCAACAAATTAACGATGAAATCAATAAACGCCTATTTAATTTAGCGAAAACCCTGCTGTCTCATATTAGGAGTTTATTTCATAATAGAGGACTCTTCTCTAGATATATACCGTTCATTGAATTATTTATTTCAAATTGTTTGGGAACGTTTGAAATTGTCGCAATTAAAGAATTAGATATCCCGAGAGGCATCGCTGCTTATAAAGTTACAACGTTATATAAATACACGTCCGAAAATTAAGTACAAGCTCACAAAGAACATTGCGAAATTACAGGACCATTTATGTCTTGATAGAGACAATATTTTCCTGAATCCCTTGACGTGCACAGCGTACTTCCAAGAAAACTTCAAGAAAAGAAATGTAAATATCTTGGCTCAAATCAATATGATAACACTGGATATCATTGGTAACGAGGTTGCTACGAATAATGTTTATTTCGAAATTTCAATTAAAGTATACTTCAAATAATCTTGGTAAGATAACGACCCCATACTGCTTGCATTGTTAAAGAATTTCTTTACGATACAGCTTATCGTTACAGCTTATATCTGCCTCTCTCTCTCTCGCCCTCAGTCGCCGGATTCGAATCCGATTGAACGTATTTCAGCCGCGATAAGCAGAAAAATACGAATTACAAGTTCAGTACCTTTGAAGAATGCGCCGCAAGAGGTGCGAAATAAAATTGTCCTCGATGTTACACGTAATCTATCTAGTCCCGCCTATTTGGGAAGGTAAGAAACGGCTAATCGAATATATACAACAGGAGCAACTCTTGCAAACTTTGACGTACCTATGTTTACCCACATTTCTGTGACATTGTACTTTGCACACACACCGTTATTTTCTTAAGAGTTTAATAAATATATTACGTTTCCTTTAATTAATGATAAGGTACTTTAATTTATATCGCTAAGATTATCAAAACTATTGTATTTTCTATGATACCGTAGAACTCTGAGAAAAAGTATGAGTAGACTTTTCCGACTAGCTCGTTAAACGTCTGTACATGTATATGTTATCTCGTTTCTCATTAAGATAGCGTTTTTACAGAATGTAAGTACTTCTAAATTTCTATCGCATGTAATTTATGTATACACACTAGGTGTAAAACTTCAAACACAGAGTGTGTACAAATGTCTTCACTCCTTCCTCGTCATCTGGGCAAGTACTTCAATTTTTAAGGTGAAAATTGAAAGTTCGCTTCGCCATCCGATGGTTTTCAATTTTGGCTTTCCCGTAGACGAAGCTGCGCGAGTTGAGGTGGCGAAATTGCAAATTACTTCTCAGAATTTTACCTCGCACACAAAGTGCTCCGTGAGAAAGCCAGGCAAGTTTCCAACGCAGCTTATTCGTCTCCTCGCAGAGGAAGCTTCGCGTGCGAATTGAAATTCTGAGGAAGCAATGTCCAGCTTGCACCTCAACTCAAGCAGCTTCCTCGATGAAGAATCTTGCGCAGACGAGGGAGCCAATGTGCAAAAAGTTCCTACTGTCTTGACCAAACAATTGATTGATTTGTCGTTACGTGGATAATACAAGCAGAGAGAGAAACCTGAGAGCGGCCACGCCGGCGTTTTACTTGATACCGTTTCAAGGCAGTGTTTCGCGCGTCTTTACGCCCACTTTTACTTTCGCAACTACTTTGCTACGCATCTTCTGGCACTGCCGATAAAGTCTCCAGTTTGTGCGTGTCCATGCTACGCCCATTTTTCAGGATTGTACTGCGAAATACAAGATTACATTAACATATGTAAATTGGCTGCATGATATTCACGTCAACTTTTCTCACGTAGACAATGTAAATTTTATAAATTAGATAGAACGCGCAGCACAGACACGCACCAAGTGCGAAATTTTATCGGCGGAGTCCGAAAGTGCATAATGAAAAAGAACAGTCTCCCGAAACGGTGTCAAGTGAAACGCCGGCGTGGCCGCTCTCAGGTTTCTCTCTGCTGCAAGACGACGTGGATTTATCCTTTGGCAGGAACATTTTAGACCGAAGGGGAAACCGCTGAGGGCATCGTGGCGTACAAACTTGCGGCATTACTAGGCATTTTTGATGGCATCATAAAGATAAAACAAGGTAAAGTAAGATAATAATATAAAGTAATGCCAAGGTTTTAGCGGGCATCGGTGTACAAAATTTTGCTCAGCGGTCTCCCCCACGTTTTGGACCCTAAAGAATTCGGAGACGATCCCCGACAGTCACTCGAGTAATCTTTAGCTTTTTCCCGCGTACGAGGTGCACGACAGTGCTCCTTTACCTCGGTGCGCTGTAACAGGTAACATTGCGCGCGTTATACATTTTCTTTTTGCGAAACGTCAGCTACGCAAACATGTGCGTTATCAGGCGTGCAGATTGAAAGACCCGCAAGGCAGAGCCGGGCGAGCGGCCGCCCGCCCGCTTCCTCGCTCGGAGGCAGCGACGTGTTAAAGCGACTACGAGGAATCGCCAGGGGAAACCGCGTTAATCAGTGAACTTCGAACTGGACGAGCCAGTAAACAGAGACCGATGCGATTTCAACAGGGCTCGACCTGCGTATCGTTACGCAATTATCGCGGGGGTCCCTTCCCGATAAGAAGGAAAGTGCGAAGAGAGCGTGCGCGCGCGCGCGCGGGAGAGAGAAAGAGAGAGAGAGACCCGTGCGTGCGTCATCGCCCGCGAACGAGGATCCTCGTTTCTCTGTCTCTCCCTCGTCCTCTCCGCCCCCCGGCGACGAGGGGATCCGCGCCAGCGGCCCGCGGTTACGCACCTTATCGGACGATCGCCACCCTGCGGGTCGGCACACGGTTATTGACGGAATGATGGAAGCTTTCGGTGACCGGATCGCAAAAATCAGTCAGATCGGCCGTCGGGCGTGGATCGGCGAGTTGCCGTCGTCCACGGCCGTCGTAGTCGTTGATCTCCTCCCTCGTCCTCGTCGCCGCCGCCCAGCCGCCGGATACTCCCGTCAACGATTACCCTCCGCGCGGAGCGTCAGTGATGAGCATCCGTTTCGTCCGTAACGCGTAAACGTGGTCCGCTCTACGCGCCACGTGCGAGCATCGCAACCGTCGTCATCAACCTTCGATCCTGAACGTACGGTCGTCGAGTCGTCGCCGCCGCCGTCACCGTCGCCGTCGCCGCCGCCGAAATTTTCACCCGGAGATGAAGGGAGAAGCCTAAGGTGCGACGCCCGCACGAAACACCGCCGACTCACCGCCACCAGCCGCTTCGCGCTCGGACTCGGAAGGAACAGTATGGATCAGGCGTTCGCGAATGGAGCGACGGGGCCCGCGCATGCGCCGCCGTCGCGACTTGTGCGCCGCGCCCCCCTAGGGAGTTTCGGCCAGCCTGAGGCAGTGATATGCGAACACTGAGAGAGCGGCCACCGGAAGTCCACTAGCGCCCCCCGACAGTGTGGATGTCAACTACGTCCGCTCGCTCGGTAACGGTACACAAGCTATGGTTCGTGTCCGGACTTCTCAGATGGATACGAGAGTCGGATGAGATGAATAAGTGAGTCGATCTATTGTTCTAAGTAATACGAAGTCAGAACGATTGATTGATTCGCTCCCCAGTGAGAAATGATTCGTCGATCGACGTCGAAACGACGTCGAATCGACATCGACACCGTCGAATTGACGTCGATTCGACATCATTTCGACGTCGATCGACGAATCATTTCTCACTGGGTCGTTTGTAGTGGTCTTAATTATTCGAAGCTTCGAAGTATCCGAAGAAACGAAGAAACTTCGAATATCGAATTGTCGAAGTTTCGAAGTTTCGAATTTTCGAATTTTCGAAGTTTCGAATTTTCGAAGTCAACTAATGCATTAAGATATAAGCTTTCAAAGACCAACCTAATTTATCATCTGTATCAGGCAGTAAAAAGAAATAGTTAATAAGATAAAATGTTAATGATAGAAAATTTATTTCCTTCGAATTAATTATATTTTTATGAGTGAATGGACAAAAATGTGTCCGACAAAAACATTTGTTTTTTTATACTTGTAATGATATTAATTAGTTGGCATTTAATTAGTTCACAGTTATAGTAAAAACGATTAATTTTGCAAAATGTGTTATTGTTTTTTATCCTGTTAATACATTAGTTGACTTCGAATATTCGAAACTTCGAAACTTCGAAAATTCGAAACTTCGAAAAAATCGAAAACTTCAATTCTCAAATAATTTCTACGAAGCTTCGAATCTTCGAAGAAAAATTTCAGCTCTAGTCGTTTGTCCCATCTGACTCTCGTATCCATCTGAAAAGTTCGGACACGAACCGTAGCTCGTGTACCGTTACCGAGTGAACGGACGTAGTTGACATCCACTTTGTCAGGGGGCGCGTCCGTTTCCGAGCTAGCAGACCTTCCGGCGGGCGCACTCAGGTTTGCATCACTGATCCCCGACCGACCGTTTTATCAGCCCCTTTGCGGGACTCCTGGTGCTCGCGCTTACGTTCCTAACCTCTGGCGCGCGCAAGTGGGAAAAATTTACATAACCTCAGCATGAAATATAGGATATTGAACGGTAAGTTACTAATATACACAAATGACGTAAAGAACTGGATGTGTAGAAACGAAGAGTGACAAATTGACGGGATACTAAGTAGTCTCATGGAAAAAAAAATACACGATCGACAGCAAGATTTGTTATTCGACTAACACCCGTCTCTACCAACGCACTTTAACTTGTATTCCAGTTTCGCGAATTAGAGGCAGGGAAGAAGTAATTCAAATCGAGATTAAAGTTCATCCGCATTGGTAGAAACGGCCCGTGAGGGTCAGTTTTGCAAATATCAGTTAACTGCTTAGGCCCGGCCTTTCATTTTCTGGTTAACTGTTGACCAGAAGTTAGTCGACACTTCACTCCCTTCTGGTTAACTGTTAACCAGAAGTTAGTCGACTCTCCGCTCACTTTTTCTATTATTAGCTAAGAAGAGACAGAGTCGACTAACTGGTTAACAATAAACCGAAGAAAAGTGAAAAACCGAGCCTCAACCAGAGTTCAGTCGACTCCCCATTTTTTCTTGTTGTTTAAGAAGAGACAGAGAATCAATTAACCTGAGGTTAACCGTTGTTTGTGAAACTGGCCCCGAGAGATATCATCTAAAATAATGCCGGATGCAATTTGGCGAGAATCGTTTTCTAAAGGTGATATTTTTTTCCATCCTAACACTGTATCGTTTCAGAAAGCTCGATGGCTCACGCGCAGCGAACTGCGAGTGTACGAGGCTGCGAGTAGCGACCGTCAGTTTATCGATACCTTGAAGATAGATAAGCAGGCAAAAAAACAACGAAATAAGCGTTAGAATAAAAAATTACATAGGTATGTCTTTCATATCCGAGCTCTAGTATGCATGCGGCCCTGGCGAGATCCCCGTTCAAAAGTAACGTGCTGCATTGCACCAAGTCGACGCAATTGGTACGATTGTACTCGACGAGGCAAGGCGCCAAGTCGAATCATTACGACACGTTGAACATCACGCCGCACGCCACCCAGACCGAGGTGAAGTCGGCGTATTACAAGCTGACCCTCCAGTATCATCCCGACAAGAACAAGAGCGAGTACGCCAAGAAAAAGTTCCAAGCCATCTCGGAGGCTTACGAAGTGCTCGGCAGTCATGAGCAGCGCAAGATTTACGACCGGACTATGCTGCTGCACCGGCAACCGTCGGTGTCGGCCACCGCCGAGCAGCCCGTGTCCCGCTACAGCGACAAGGTTTACTCGGGTTCGTCCAAGATTTACAATTTTGACGCGTGGACGCAGGCGCACTACGGAAAGCAGATACGCGATAGGCGCAAGAGGAGAGACTTGTATGAGCATGCCAAGAACTTGGAGGAAAATTGGTCGCACTCGAACAGCAACAAGTACACGGAAATCGCCATATTTTTGCTCACTCTGACGATGATAGCAATGATTTTTCGGGAGAAGCCCGACACACCGAGATCCGCGAGACGCAATAGCGAGAGTAAAGATGGCAAAACTTAGTCTACATTTATCTATTTGAATAGTACAAATTTGTATATACGTTCGCGCATGACGAATGTACAAAGTTCATGCCCGCTTATCGTTTATGTCTATTAGCAAGAGTAAGAACGAGATTAAAATAGATCGTGATGAGAAACGACGATCTTTTCATATGCTCCTTGAAAGAAAGAGAAAACTACGTATCGCGATAGAGATTGTTCTCAGCAGCACGCACCTGCCGCGTTGATTGCGCTCGTGCGTGTCGATATAGACAGACTGTATATTTTACAAGCGGAGTATAGGTAACATTTCAGAGATACCGGCGTTCTGAAGCATTGCCTACTATCGATAGGTGTATATATATATGTATAACGATAGATTCAGGTAAATAACATATAGCTCGTATATTGCGCAACGCGTCTAATATAAAAATAGTGAAAAATTAATGTGCAAAGAGGCGTGTGCGTGATACGTAAGGGGGCTCAATGTCGGGTACCTCGAGGCCGCGCTCGAGGAAACTTTTCGCAGACGAATAAACTTGCAACCCTTTTCAATACGGTCTATAAACTGGCATCCCCGGCAACGGCATCGGCATAGCTACTGGCCCGGTAGGATACGGTATGGAGGGCGTCATTCCGGGGAAATTCGAGGCGATCGGATAGCCGGGGGTGCTGTTCGAGTGCCCTTTCCTCATCAGCTCGCGCAGTTTGTCCACTTTCACTTTGCGCAAATGCATCAGTTTCCTCCGCGACAAGAACTGATCCAGGAACTCGTCCACTTCGATGTCACCGGCCAGGAACTTCTCTGCCAGGCCCTGTACATAAAAAAAGAAGTCAGAGTCAGACTGTCTTGTCACGAGCTATGGCGAAAGTCTCACTTGCCTCGGATTCCTCTTCAATCTCGGCGGCAGCCGCTTGCAGCAGGTCCAGCGCGGTATCGACGGTCATTGTGCCAGATTTGTCGCCTGCGAACAAACGTACGGCTCTAGGACTGAGTCTCGTTAAAGTTGTCAGTCACGCGGGACGACTTACGCATCTCTTCTATTTTACTCCTGACGCTGGTGCACAGCTGGTTCGCCTGTTCGCTCAGCTCCTTCAGGGCCCGTTTGTCATCTTCCAATTCGGGCTGCTTGGCCAGATTGAACTCGGCCAGAGATCTGTTGCTCGCCATCAACATTTCCTTCTCGGTCTCGAGGTCCTTAAACTGATATTCCGTCGCGTCAAGACGGTTTTGACGATCGTATCGTACGAAACTTTCCAAGCAGTGTACTGTATACAAATATTTACGAATGCAACGAATGACATCCTCCACTGCGAGACGTCGTTCGTTACAGACTTGTTCTACCAACTTGTTTCTACCAACGCAGATCAACTTTAATCTCGGTCCAACTCACTTTACATCTTCGTCTAGCTTCGCAAATTAGAAAGAGATAAGAATTCAAGCATTAATTAATCTGCAGCGGTAGAAACGAGCATCGATCGAAAGCACGAAAAGCTCCAATTGCGAGGGGAAGAAGACGTGCAGTTAGGAATTGATCTGTTAACCGCGCAGATTTAATTGTCGCGTAACGTCGAGTCTCTCCCGACGTTGCACTTAGACCGCTCGAAACTGACGCGCGAGCCGCAACCCTACCTGCTTTATATCTTTCACGATATCCTCGAATTTCCCATCGTCGTTCAGCAGCTCCTTCAGCTCGTCGTTATTCAGGTGAGACAGCAAACCCAGTGCCGCGGGTATGTCCGGCTCCTGACTCGACTTGTACATCTCTTAAATGCTAACTCGCAACGGAACGGCGAACGTTGCTTCGCGCGGATTGTCCCTTTCCTCCTTAAATCTAAAGGCAATAGCTGCGGGAAGTACGCATTCGCGATAACGCGATGACAGGTTCGCACCACGAAGCGCTCACCGAGGACGGTCGTGGGGAAGTCCGGTTTTCAGCGCCACCTCGCGAGCCGAACGTCGAACTAAGGTCGATAGGCGAAACTTATTACCCGAGGAAGCTAAATTCGGCGATTCATTATTGACGGCCGATCCCTGCTGTACCTGCAGGCGGGGGATATATTGGGGGATTCCCGTCGGACGGTGCTGCCGCCGCACGGCGGAACGCGCGACCGCCTGACACGGCGACCGGTGAGCTTTTCAAACGCGAGAAGTGGCGAGAAGGAGCGAATCGATCCCGCGGCGCAATTGCGACGGCCGCCTTCCTTGTCCTGGACGCCCCGGAGTTGTCGCCGCGACCCCGGGCAACGCCGGTCACGCCGAGGGGCGGGACCAGGTGACATGGAGTCCGCGATCGGGCATCTCGAGGAGAGCGTGAGTACACGGCGGTTTTCCGCGCGAGACGCTCCCGGGACCGGCGAGACGGGCCGCGGTAGCGGTCGGCGGTTGTGCGACGTCGAGCCACGTCGTGCGCGCCGTCTGAATTTTACCCCTGTCCCTCTCGTGTCCCCAGGTGCAGAGAGCCGACGGGAAGCTGGACATGATCGCCTGGCAGATAGACGAATTCGAGAGAGCCTTCGAGGACCCGGAAGACGAGGTAGGGTTTCGCTTCTCCGCCGTTTATCAGTAGAGATTGTCGGATCGCGTGCCAAGCCCGTTCTCTTCAGCTGTACTTTGACTCAACTTGCTCGATACGGGCCGGCTACGCGGGATACGCTAGATCAGCCGTCGATTTTGCAATACTTCGCCGATCGCACGTTGAAAGACCGAGGGCTAGCTTGCGAGCGTAGGGAAGATAAATTTTTATTTCGGACTTGACTAGGACGAAAGCGAAAGGAAAGCATTTATGAGAAGTACAACTGAAAGGGACCAGGGTATTGTGTCCATTTCTATACGGTCCTCTGTGACGTTTTATACTGAATAAACAATGTGTCACATTCGCCGGACAATTCCTGCTTGAGGCCAGGTTGATCCGTTTCACTTAGAGTTAAACATGTCCCGTGTGACATCTCGCACACACGTTCATTGAATTATCATTATTATTATTATTCGTATGCACTTTACTTGTCTGCGATGTTTTTTCGAATCTTTGATCATCAAACCGCTTTTCATTTTGTGCTTCCCAGATAGCTGTGCTTCGCCTATTACACTCTGTGCATCAGGTTAAGAAAGATTATCAAAATCTTCGTCAAGAAATTTTGGAGGTTCAGCAGTTACAAAAACAGCTTTCTGATTCACTTAGAGCTCAGCTTACGCAGGTGCACGGACACTTTAATTTATTGCGCAACAAGATCGTAGGACACAAATCACCGCAGCTGAAATAAGAGCGTGGCCCGTTTGTACGTTTGTTTCTCCGGTTATCCTTTTTTCCCCCCTATGTCACAATTGGCGTGAACCTTCCGTTACGTTCGTAATACTTGCAGCGTGGCAAACTGCAGACAGCTGTGCGCGGCCCACGGCTCGGGGTGACCAGGGATCTGACGACAGTCGGGCGAAATCATTTCGTCGTATTTCCTTTCAGGGACTTTTATCGGAGTCAGAGTTACATTTGTTATGTCGTTCTCTTGCGCATTGTCTCTGAATGTTGAAAACTTGAGAAAGAGAAATTTGATAGAAGTGGAGGGCAAGGAATGGGAATCTGCGTTCTTCGCTCCGTAGGATCCTCTCGACAAATAACTTGTTTGACTTCTGCCTTAAACGTGGCGACGGGGCCAATATATATATATATATATATACATTCATACGCTGGTACGTTGAGAATAACATTGAAATGATCTTTCATATTGCATTCACGTTGTCCACATTACAGCCCCCCTACCGTTTGCCATTCGACGCGATGACCGACAATATGTAACGATTGAAATCTTTGAATGACGGATGTAAAATCTTTCAGTAGTGCATCAAACTGAATGGCTAAAAGAGCGACACACATTTGTGTACTTTCCATTTGCCGTTAGATTTATCTGTGTATATTTCTACGCCATTCTGAGGACAATGGTTACGAAAGGTTTATTTTTCCTCGTGTACCAACCGGAGCTTTGCGAGACACTCAGATTAGAGAATACAAGCTTAGCATGATATCTTTGTGCGTATCCACATCTAGCTTTAGGCGAGTTGGACATTTACAGCTTTCAGAATGTGTTGATTTTTACGTCCCGGGCAGTTTCGGCGCCTCCCGAAAAGTCCGGAGTCCAACGTAAATTACTATACGGCGTGACGTTCTATTGTCATTCGGTGCTGCCAACAATGTCTATATTGCACATTCGCGCACAGTGAGTCTACACGTGATGCAAACACGACGCATATATGTGACATTTACATCGATTGAGGCCCGGTATAATCGATTATACACTTTGATTTGTCATTGTGATATAGAGTAAGCTCTAATCTTCTATTATATAAAAGTGATTCTCTCCACACGTTGCCGGCACGCATTATTTTGTAGCATATCTTAGCATTTTTATTCCTACTCTGTACAATATAAAAACATTAGTTAGAGCTTAGTTAAGCGGCAGGTACGAATATTTTCGTACGTTCAATCGGATATCTAGAATGTTTCTGTCGCTTGCATCATTAAAATCCGTCTACAGTGCAGACAGGAAACTGTGAATAGGTTTCTAAATCGGTAAACAGTAATATTTATACAGGGTGTCCGATGCAAGAGGACGAAAAATGGTAGATTGGGTCAGACACCCTGTGTAAATATGTTGCTCTTATTATATACAGGATGGTTCAAAAGACTCTACGCACTTCAATGCTTATTGAAATTGCACCAAGCTCTTCTCATGCCTTTGCTGTTGTGACTTTATTTACTCGCGTCGGTCCAAGTCCGCAATATGCTGGTCAGGAAAGCACGTTTGCTTGAAGGACCCAGCGGAAAGACGGTTTCAGTGCAATCATGGTCGATTCGCTATTCAGTGGTGACTTTTGGCCTATCCCTGTATATAATATTAATGCGGACGGCTGTTTATTTATTTTTACTTTATTATAAATACAGTGTTCTTTATTTCCCACTGCGTAAAACGAAAAGCTTTCGCCTGGACGCAACTTGCGCAATAAGACATACATATACTATATACGCGTGTGTAACTGGAAAAAAAAAGAAGCATTGTTGGGCAGCTATACGAAAGTTCCGAAGATACTCTCGCAGAATCCTGAATCTATACACGAACAACGCTTATGTGTTCTTAGCACGCTCGGTGTTCTTTCTCGAAACGTACACGGAGTGTTTTCAATGCTTTCCAATTTGCAGAAAATGAATGTAGTGCGAACGAGGATGAAGACACGTGTAAAGCTCCTACCGTCGAAAAATCGAGAGATGGGAAACACTATTGCCTTAAGACATAGATGCGCATTTAATATCCCGAGGTTAGATATATACGATATTAATTATTATACACAACTAAACTGTAACCCGTTGCGTATTTTCAAGGGGCCCGATGAGAGAAGAAATTATTTTCTCCTTTCCTCTCTCGTAGGAATTACCTTCTCCGCCGTTATAAATCATCTTATCGCGCACGAATATTGTAACACGACTACCTAGACTTAATATTTATTATTGATCGATTTGCGGCGCAAACGTTATTACCACGGACTGAGTAACTGAGTTTCATGATCGCCGACACGTTGCTCGCACGCGGCGTTTGGAAGAGAAAAAAAATTACTTTTCGATTCGCCTGTTATCTCACGCGCATTCGATCTGCGTCTCGCGGGGAAACTCTTCCAAGTCGACGCGCGATCACGTGGACCGGGGGAACATTGTGATACTCGGTGACTCGCACCAATCGACTTTTTATATTGCGATTAATCAAGAACGCGCCTTGGTCCTAGGTGCATCGAAAATAGCCGAGAACTACTTAACTTTTGCACTACGCTTATTAATCGTAATATGAACTAGCCGTTGTACCGTCTCGTAGCTGCTGTCTCAAGTATCGGACGCATATTACGGAATAGAGAACGAGAGAGAATATGTATCCTTTAGTGCTCTGTCAGACTGATCTCGCGCATTCGTTTTTTTCTTTTCCATATAACTTAATCCGATACATATTACCGTCTCTTCTGCAGTGTAGATACGCGTATATGATACGCAATTTTTGATTACATAAACGCACAGTGAATTTTATCCTTCGATGTATGAATGACTACGTTAAGACATTAGACAGCCTCTTGTTTGTTAATATACGCTGTAGAATTAGATCTCTAAGAGAAAAATGGTCTGGAACACATTGCAAATGTGGCAAAATTTCGGTCAATTAATAGTAAACGTCGGAGACAGACTGCCCTCAGATTTGTTCCTTTCCGGAATCTCTACATATCACACGCTTCAGATCTTTTCGAACGCAATATTGTACCTTTTTATCGGAGTATTCCCCGAGATTCGTGGATGCCTTTAATCAAAACAAGTAATTGATCTTGCACTCGTACAAGCACCGGTTTATTGAAGGACGACGTGTGTCGCATTTTTCTGTGACTTACGTAAATCTTGTCGAGCTTTAAAATGTGCTCGCGATATTGTCACGTTAAATTTGTACGTCTATTGTAGCTTCTCACTTCGGGAGCCATCGGCTAATCAAGATCGTTTTGCCTCCAAATTATAAGTTACTGTCCCAAAGGCAGGAAAATAACGATTTTCCTACGACACAAACTTGTGAGGTGCCGATGTACATGTCACCTTTAATACGTTTGAATACTCATTGTGTTTGCTTATCTTATCACACGTTCCGTCCCGAAATAAACGTCTTGTACACATGTTCACTAATAAATAATGCATACAGCCATTACATTCGCTGCATGTCGCACGCGTAGGTACAATTAATTACTTGATAATACGTTATTCAATTTATTCATTCAAGTCGCAAATGCATTTATGTAACGAATATACTTGTACAGTCACGGTTTCAGTGCAGATAAGGGCGTGAGATATCGAAATGAAAATTTAATCCGCGCGTTCGTTTATCATATTTTGAAATTGAAACGAAACAACTCGCGGGTTGATAAATAGTATTATGTTCTCGAGGTATCTATTAACGTGTATCGGACATACGTAAATATAGATGGATTTTGCAATGAGAATTACATGCGCGCATATTTACATTTATTATTGCACAAAATTTGTATTTCGACGAACTCTATTCGCCATCACTGCTGAGCTTCATCGTGCACTGGAACAGACTGTACGATTGCGTATACACATTGCATAAAACACATTGAAGTTTGTCGATTATTTACCAATCTTATATATATATACGATTGCTCAAAATTTCGATGTATATTGACAATTACGATTCACGAGACGAAAACTGTATCTTTTTAGATATTTATCGTATTGCTACATAATAAATTGTTATCTCTAGCAACTTCCTGGGAGTCCGTTATTTTCTATAATTACAACGCAAATAATTATTGTATTACGTTGGAATAATGGAATAAACGATACGTAGTTCTACGAAAAACTGGATGCATTTCTCTGAGGGAAAAACCGCAAGTTTCCATTTCGCCCCGTCGCGGCAAGTTGGACATTGCTGGAAGTGTCAAGTACGAGGTGAAGCGAGCTCCAAGCAGCAGCCTGATCAATTACTCGTTTTCCCACGCTGACGCCCACGGCGCAAAAAAAGAGTGCGTCTCAATGAGCTCGGACTATTCTGAACGTTGGATATATCAGGGGAAAGAAGACGAGGACAGACGTTCTGGAGAAAAAAGGGACGTGGAAAGCCTTCACCTTGAAAAGCAAAAGCGTACGTCTCGATTCGTCAATTGTACTGCGTGTACTCAGATACAATGGATGTATGTACATACATGCGTCTGCTCTATAGGGAATACGCTGCACGCGGGAGATGTTGCGGGCTGGACTTGACCTCGTAGGTGGATCCGAGCGAGGACCGGTTATTCCGCGCACGGATCAAGGAAAGGCTCTCTCAAATAGGAACGAAGGTTGTAGACCCTCGCCTAAGGCGGAATCCTCTTCTCGCACGGTCTAGGACCGATAGATACGACGCTCGCAATGCGAATACAATGCGCACGGTCCTCCCGCAACGTCAAGCTCGCTCGATGAATATTGATGCCCGCGCGTCACAAACTTGACCAAATCCAACCACACGGGAATACGGGCTTCCTCTAATGAATTGCCATTGTAATTAACTGTCCGCTGTACAGAGTGTCCCGGAATTACCGGGTGTCTTTAATTGTAGCCTTGGTTTAATTTGGAGTCCGGTTTTCCTTGGCGGAAGTGTCGAGACAGATTGTCATCGGTCGCCACTTTCTAGCTCCTGACGTAATTCGCGATAAAATTTGAAACCGAAATTCCTAATGAGCCGCCACGACGCGTCTTTTTTAGGATTAAGATCGCAGCGTGCGACCCGTACATCGATCCGTTGAAGAGCTTTAAAATGTTCTACATCTAGGACTTTCCAAATGTTTTAGTTCTCCAGCTCGAAATTGATCGAACGGCGAGGAAGGAGGGTTCGTTGGCACTGGTTCCCGCGTGTCGGATGTACGAAGAGCGTGTCATTGGTGAACCCGTGCGAATCTGCTCGTCGATTAGAAATTTATAGAAATCACTACCAAGGCAGTCCTGGCGAGAGAAGATTCCTCGCGCGATTCCCTTTCTTTCCAGGATCTTTGCACTTCGGCCGGCCGTTACAGTAGGCGACGCTTTCCGCTCAATTTCCACCGTGCTCGTGGGAAAGTATTCTTATTCCCGTCGTGATACAGACGTATCCGCGCGGGACGATTCGCGTGTAACGATGCGCTGTGCGGCGAGGAGGCAATCGCGGATTGCAATATTTATTCCGTGCCGCTTGACTGCGCTCTAGTCCTACCAGAGATAGAATATCGGGACCTGCGATTTTGTCGAAAGGATAACAATTCATAGGTATCAATATTATATAACCGTTTTATGAATATTATTATAGCAAATTCGGTTGCTTGCGCTGGTGCGCACCAAGGCTTGCTTACAGTCAATTCTTAAATTTAAGAATCGTTTTAAGTACCTCTTGAAATACTTTTGAGTAAAATGTGATTTATGTAGCATCCGCACGGTCATTTTCTTCGGCTGGATGGTTTTTGAGCATGTACTGAAGATCTTAAATATAAAAATTGACTATGGACAACCCAAGTAGAACAAATTAGTCATGAAAGTATCAAGATGACGTATTTCAAGGGGTATTTAAGACGATTCTTAAATTTAAGAATTGACTGTAAGCAAGCGTTAGCGCGCACTAGTGCAAGCAACCGAATTCACTATCAGAGCCGCAAAAGATAACTCGAAGAAGTGGAAATTATTGTCTACAATGTATCTTCTTCTCCGCAAACTTTAGCCAGCGATACGGGATAGACTGCTACATAGTGATGAAGTTTCTGATCCACCACAAAAGCCGGAAGCGGATGTTTAGGAGCGTGTCGGGCGAGTCGTCGGTCGGAAACAGAAAGAGAGAATCCTGCGGAAGGCGCGAGAGTGGTCGCGACGTGTCTGTCGATTTCCTCCCGGCGGTCTTGCCGCTTTGCTGACTTCGTCGTGTAGTGCAAGCTCCGGAAAGATTTTCCACCCCATCTCGAGTAGCCGTCCCGCGAAAGTGCAACCGTGTTCGCGACGCGACGGGTATGCGGGCGCGTTCGCGCGCGCACGCTTTCGTTGCGGCGACGTGACAGGAAGAGAAGGCCCGTGAAAGGCGCTGGTCTTTCATTGAGAAATGGAAAGAGTCCTCCTCGTCATTCCGATTCGTCTAATGGCCTAGACGCGTGAGATGCGTGTCAACTGGATGCTAATTGTAGTCGGTACGTGTGGGAAAAATCCTAATCTCCTAACATCCCGGTACACCAACGAAAGTGCCCGCCTCTTCAAAGATTTATTCGATAGCCAATAATTCACCTTAATCAGATTCTTCCTTCTAATTGTAAGATATATTTTTTAGACTTGTTGAGAAGAATTACGTCGTTGCCACAATTCCTTTTTCTTTTCTTATATATTATCCTATAATTCCATGGTTCCTTGCAGAGGAAGGAAGTTATCGATCGTCGAACCCGATTTTCACCTGAACGTTCCACCGAGCATGTCGGGCCGCGGCCAAAGGCAGTTTCCAATTTATGCGGCTAGCGTACTCTTGAGAATTTGATAACGAAATTCCATATGCTGATGTTCGGATTTCGGAAGGGCGCTATTAATTACAATCTGTTAATTAGTAAGTTGTTGCAACGTAGCGCATTTCAGTAATGAATAATTCCAGATATGATTTCTAAATATAACTTCTCCGAAGTGCAGGATTAAACTCCAAGGGTCTCTCTGAAGTAAGTTGGCAGAAAAGCGAAAGAAACAAGATTGCAATAATTCGATAAATTAATCAATTTACAATCTCACAATGAATCCAACCGCTGTGTACAATATATATATCTGCTACAAAAGATTCTTGATATAAACCAGTAAGAAACTTGCGCACTTCCGAAGTACGCGGGCTGTCGAACCCAACTTCGCCGGGCGAGTTGCAACGGTAGTTTGCGGAAAATTGCCTGGGACCATCTGTATCATCCTCGCCTCGCGTTGGAGCGTGCCGCGAATGCGGACGAGCACCCCGTTCTAATAACCTACTCCCACACCGCCGATCGGCCGGAGTGCTCGCTCGGTCGGTCCCCCGAGTCCAAGTCGGGTTCAGTCGTCTGGCGACCGGTTCCGAGGTCTGGGGCCCTTGCTCACCGCACGAGTCTGACTCACTGTCGCGGCCGATGCGAGAGTAGTGCCGCCGGAAAGCAGAGCCTACGCTTCTTTCACATGAACGGGTAAGCATGAGACCTGGAGGACTGTCATTCCTAATAAATTAGGGAAATCGCGGTTGAATGAAGATTTAAATAACACCTTCTCAGCTCATATCCGGCTTTCCGTGGGGAATAAGCTGCTCACTTATCACTGAAGCATGAGACTAAAATACACCTTTTGCATTCCGTTATACAGTTATCTTGTTTCCGGGAGTCTTCTATTTTCACTCGTTAATTGTTCGGATTTGTTAGCAGTCTTTCGTTGTGAAAAAACCTGACGGCTGGGACGCGGTTTCGAGTATTTCGACCCCGTTGGCGTCGATTCGACGTTAGTGTTCTCACTGGAATGAATTTTGACTTTTCGTATCGACGTGTCGGTGAAGAGTGCATTAAATCAGAAAAATTTATGAGACGCTATAGAATTTCTTTCCTTTGTCCATCAATTCACATCGCATTATTATTTACTTTCATTGTCTCACAATGCTGGATTGTCTAGATGCAGTAATAAATGTCTACTTTTCTTTGAGGACACGGCAATTTTATACGATAGCGACTGGTTTCTAGATTTAGAGATAGATTTGGGACTTCGAAACGAAATTTGACGTTACTTGTATCTCGTAATCGAATATTTCCGTCAAAATTGAGCGCAGAGATTTGTTATTTAAACCCGAGACGAAAAGTTTTCCGCCAAGTATATCACGAGAGGCCGTCCACATTCTCTCGTCGCAACTCTTTAATACTTGATATCTCATTTCTAGGTGTACGTTTATGTTTGAGGTCTTCGACGGAGTAGCGCGGCAGCGAGTCATCACGTATAAATGATTAAAGGCTGTTTAGACCTAAACTGAGAGAATTCTTACGCGAGAATGTCGCGCGGTCACAATTTATCTCTCTCTTTGATCCATAACTGTGTTCACATTGTTCTTATCTCGACTGAATATAATCGTATATATTTCTAGGTACTTACCTTGACGAACACTTATCCCGCGGTATATCTGGGATACCTTGCGCGTGGAGTGTCGGTGTAATAACCGGTTCAGTGTGGCTCCTTCGTCATCGTGTCTCTCCCTCTTTCGCGTAGCTTTCGAATGCGGCATTTAAACTCCGACTTTGTGCGCCTTCGTGACTCCTTCGGGCCCCGGTCGCGCCGAGAGACCAGGTCGCGATATCGATCAAGTGGCCGGAGAGTTCGCGCGTCTCGTACGTCCAGCGTAAAGAACGTACTCGGCAGCGAATAAACGTGGAGACTCCGTTTGACCTTGATTAATGCTCGTTCTTGCGATCTCTAATGTACGGCGCGTCGACTTTCGTGCCGCTAATCGCTGTCGTTGCTGTAATTCGCGTGTGGCGTTTCCTCCGTTACTTTTCGAGCGAAACGCTCGCTAGTACCGCGCGCGGCGAGAGAGAGAGAGGTCATCAAACCTCCGCCCGGTCATCTCCATATGTGGTTGCTCACCCGCGAACACGAGCGTGGTTTGTAATCGTCGCTCTTTTGCTCGCAACAATATTGGAGACCCGATAACAGTAAATTAACATAGTTTCGCAACAATGAAACGATTTACAATAGTAAATTAATTCTATTCTGCTTGAAACAGTGGATTTGATTTAGTCGACTGCGTGTACAGCCGTGATCGGAAAGGTTGTTCGACGTTTTATGATAAATTTCGGAAATGCAGTCTGTCGCGTGAGAGATTATATAGCTTCTGCTCGCGGATACGTGCAGTGGCGCGTTATTAGAGCGAAGGAACGGTATGTACGACTATCTATGCAACGATACGTACGAATATTCCGAAAACTTATTGCGAAACGTCGGACAACCTTTCTGACCATGAAAGAAGTTACTTGTAGTCAGCGGTGACGATTAAAAATTAAAACAGGAAACTTGTAGTCAACCCAACTGGCAGCTATTCCTTTATTTAGCAAGTGCAACGTTTCGACCTTATTTTTGGGTCCTTAGCAAGTAATACTGAGTGAGTCATCGTCGTCTAAAAGACAGAGTCAAATTATAAAAATACAAGTACACGTGAACACTGTGGATGCTCGATTCGAACATCGAGTACTTGTATTTTTATAATTTTTATAATTTGACTCTGTCTTTTGGACGACGATGACTCACTCAGTATTACTTGCTAAGGACCCAAAAATAAGGTCGAAACGTTGCACTTGCTAAATAAAGGTACAGTTGGGTTGACCACAAGTTTCCTGTCTTAACTTTCTGACCGTCACCGTGTATCAGGGCGCATACGACGAATATGAAACGACGTGAAAACGAAATGTACAGCGTTAAGAAGGAACCTGTTAATTGTGACAACTGTTAAGTACAGACGCGAGACAGATTAATGCGTGAGATATAACGAAGTGAATTGTCAAGGGAAACTGGGGGGAGGCATTTTCTCTCCTTCGAACGAGGCGATTAGCATAGCTTCGAGCGGCGTTAACGTAGCGTGAATCATTGTCGCGGACACGTAACGATCGACGGCGTTACGGGAGAAAAATTTCGAATTCAAATGCGCGTTCGAGCACACATACAAATCACATTGCGTTTGCGCTCATCTGACGACTCGCTATCTTCTTTACAGGGGCCGGCTCGTCTCGTGACCGAACATGCGCTCCCTCGTGCTTGGTCTGACATTAATCGCAAGCCTGCTAGTCGTTAGAAGGGTTTCTGCCCATGGAAGACTGATAGAGCCGCCCTCGAGGGCCTCCATGTGGAGATACGGCTTCGACACACCTCACGATTATAACGACCACGAGTGCTATTGCGGCGGGTTCACCAGGCAGTGGCAGCGGAACAAAGGGAAATGCGGCATCTGCGGCGATCCCTGGGATTCTCCAACGGTGAGTCCTCCTGAAACGGAGAATCAGATAAGCACGTAAAGTTCTCGTACACCAAATCTGGCTCTTAAGCGATTTCCTCAGTTGTCTGCAGTGTAGTTACAATTCGGCATCGGTGAGTTACCGTTCGTTTTCTGAAAACGAAAATCAGAGTTGCAACCCCGTGTGGCGCACCCGTGGTCAAAGGTGGCCTCGTCGTTATGCTTTAAGACGAGCTACGAGCTGCTTGTCACACGACACGGTCTGTATCGGCCTTGCGGAATAATAGGTAGGGATTTAATTGTAATGACAATGGAAAGTCTGCGAAGGTAGTTGTTCGCGAGTCAAAGATGATAATCCACGTGTAGCCGCGCTACACGTACAATTACTTCCCGACGATCCTCTTGCAACACCGACCACACACCATTACGCGCGATTCTTCGCTCCGTTGACCGTGGAACAGCGCACAATACCGCCGTAATGTCGACACGTCTCCGAAAATTATGCGGTGCGAATGCAGAAGGCAGTCTGCTTTTCTGTCGACCGATTCTTCTCTCTAAATGTTAATACGATATGTCAAAATTTACACGGTGAAAAAAAAGTCGCTCGAAAGGGAAAATGTCAGGTCGATGGAACAAACGGCATGATTAACGCGAAATAATTACACGGTCGACTTGAATGATTGTTACTATCCAATTGTCGCAATTCTCAACGGGGAGAAAAAAGAAAAACTTTCGTCAGACGTTTTCCTTCGGAAGAAAGCGCTAGAGGTGACTGTGCTAATATTTTCGACGCTATTGTTAGAGACATTTGTTCGTTTCTCCCTTTCTATCCTTAATGAAAGTGAGTGAAACGCACCTTGTCGCGAAGCGCGTTTTATTATTCTGAATTAAGCGACGTGCAATGACTCGTGACACGAGAGAAAGATGTAATTACTCTCCTCGCTGCCTAGTAATAATAATACAGGCTTTGCAACCGTGAACCGATTATTGATACGTCGTTTGCCTTAATGAATCATGCACTCGAGCACGCAATGAGATCACGCATTCGAAAAATACAGAAGCAAACGAGTGGAATCATTCAATTTTTTGCAATTCTGATTCCTCATTTTTTTGCATCGCATAAATTAAAGCTCCGTGTAGATTCTTGGTCTCGAGTTCCGTCATAGATCGTCGAACAAAATTCCAGATGCAATCGCAAACTAAACTACCGGACTACAGCATCCAAAATTGTAGACCTAGAATTTTGCTTCTGTCCTGACTACGCATGGCGTAGATTACAGAGTTCGTGTATGATTTAGAAAAGAAGAAGAAGAAAAGGACGGCGATTACTGAACTCCCATAACTTTCATGATCCGGTCTCGTGTTCCTATAATCAGCCGATCGCGTTTTCGCGTTTTATGCGGGACGCTTGGCCTTGATACGTACGTCTGATATCACACGGACGAAAGTAGCCCGAAACAGAAGTGAAATCCTCGTTTCCCTCTTTCTCTCTTTTGTCAATATTCACGCGTTATTCCCTTTCTCGTTACCCACATACAGCAAACGGTGTTTCTTTCTGAAAACAAATCCTAATAATGTAACATCGGGATACAAGGAAGAGACAGCAGGTTTTCAACATCCAAATTCAATGACAAATCTTTTTTCACCACGATTACACAATCTGACAATGAATTTTCCACCGAGCAGAGATTTTGCTCCAAGGGCAACAAATTCATGGTGGAATCAGCAGATAAGGCCTGTTAATTTAACGGAAATCCTGCCGTCGCATATTAGGAGCCTATCTCATAATAGGGGACTTTCCTCTATACTAATGTAATGTAAGGAACGTGCGGTACATATTCTACTTTACTCCATTTTACTGTTCAGCCACGTGTCCACGAGACGGGTGGCAAGTATGGGAACGGCGTGATCGCTCGGCGTTATCGGACCGGATCGGTCATACCGGTCCGCGTGGAACTGACGGCGAACCATCACGGCTACTTCGAGTTCCGCACCTGCGCCATGACCTACCGTGACCGGGAGGTCACCCAGGAGTGCCTGGACCAGCACCTGCTGCACGCCGAGAACGGATCCACCCGCTACTACCCTGGCCCCGGCAACCGGGTCTTCGAGGGCTACTACAAATTACCGAAGGGTCTGACCTGCGCCCAATGCGTCTTCCAGTGGCGATACATTGCCGGGAATAACTGGGGCGACTGTGGCAACGGCACAGGTACGCCGGCTCTCCGATATCAACCGCGGAATGTATTATGCGGTGCGGATATACATCGTGGATTAGCTTCAAAGATCGCTGTCTGTCATTAAGTACATGGATATAGATAGATATAGATTATAGAAATAAAACGAATGCCCATTAAATTTATTAATGGTGACGGGCCGAACGGTAACGAGGAATTGTACGGCTCAAAGTAGGTCAAAGAGTTCACATATGAAAGACGATCTGGGCCACACCAGCGATATACAGGAATGATCGCATATGGATCTCCTTGCGCGAGATGTAAGAAAATGATAGGACTGCTATGCCGTATCGCGAATAATCTAAAAGCATTTTTGAGACTTCCATTTCATATTCTCGACTCGTATGTCTTAGCTGTGGCATACGTATGTGTGCTAACAATCGGTAATCCTGCCATACGTCATTAAGATTCTGTCGGAACGATAGAAAGTGCTATTACTTTGTCCTACATAATAAGAATGACTCAAGAGTTTGCATAACATCGCTATTTGACGGCTTCGTTTAGCAAGGCAAAGCCTGTCTGGTTTTCCTCGTGTGATTAATTGGCGCACTATTAATAATTCGATGGATCGAAACTGATTTTTATCTGGTTACCGTGTTGCTGAATGATCGCAAACATCGTTTACAAGGTCCGCGTAACTCTGGTAAAATACCGGATAGAATTTCTTCGAGTGTCAAATACATTTTCACAAAATTGCACCGTTTAGGAGCGGTGGGGTGCGGGCCTCAGGAAGAGTTTCGAGCCTGCGCCGACATCGTCATCGGTGACAATGAAGCGGAACTACCGCCGAGGCTACCGAAGCAGCCGACCACCAGCTCGACACCCACAGACAGATTGCCGGCGGACACGTTGCCGAAATCCGGGCCGTATTGGCTATTCAGCGTTGTCATCGCTGGTACGTGCCTGCTGGTGGTGCTGGCCGCTATGGCATTGCTTTACACGTACTACTATCACGCCGGTAGAGCCAAAAAGTGGCTTATGGCGAGGAGACTCCTGGCGCAGGAGAGTCCGCCGGTTGCCCCGCCGAGGCACAAAAGGCATCATCACGTATCGAACACGCAGCTTCAGCTGTAGAGCTCTGTACTTGATTGTCAGTATCGCACCTTGGAGGAGAGATAGCTCGAAGGAACTTTCCGATTCAGTCGATACGCGATATCGTCGTGTCAACTATATTTTGCTCTAACTCTTAAAAAGGTCTGATGTTCAAACATGACGGACACATAGAGTTCATTCACGAACAGACTGTATTTCAAGCGATATATCTTTATACTTGGCACGTACTCTCTCTTGTATATACATATCAATAATTTTATATATATATATGTATTAAAAGTATTTATTTTATATAATCGTTCATCTTGTGACATATTTTTTCCTTCATATCTTAATATGAAATGGAAAGATTGTACCAACAGCTTAGATTGACTAATACTTCGTAATTGTCGATCTTTATGAATTGTGGTATCTTCTCTGAAAACATAAGATCCGATTTAGAGAAAAGAAAACACATATTCACACATACATTGTGTGTAGAGAAGCTTGAAAAGCCGAGAAATCTATACAGAAACATAATTGAGTACATAAAAAAAATTGTTAACATACAGAATCTTGTAGTTACTGCACACTTGATTTTCTAAGCGGCACATGTATAACATAATATCAAAGCACTTTTGCCGGATAAACTTTTAACGGCAGAGCGATTCACTGTAACAGTACTACTAACACATGAGTTTTAACATGTATAGCCGATATAAGTTTCAAAATTAATGTCAATAGACCAAACGAGGACCAGCATCGTAGAGCGAGTTTATTTTTTATTGAGCAACATATTCCTGAAGTCTTGATTGCTCATCGACTGCCCATTTCCATCAGAAGCTGCACTACCGTTACTGCTACTCGCTTTAACATTACGGGGAACCATAGACAGCAAAGTTTTGGGCACGCCGAATGCCGTGCGGCTTGTCGACGTTCCACCTAACGACTTCACCTGTCCCCCGTTTTCCTCTGTTTGGTGGACTTTCTTGCGATCGGGTGGTTGGCTTATCGCAACGCTGATCACTTTGTCCTGAATCTTCATACCGTCCGTGTTCAAAAGAGCTTTCGCGGCGGTCGCTTCGTCGTGATACTCGACGTAAGCCAAGCCCTTCGAGTGCCCATTGCGGTAAGTAACTAGGCGAACTTCCCTCAGATCTCCGTAGACTTTAAACAACTCCTCCAGTTCCTCTTTTGTCATCGTAAGTGGAAGTCCTTGAACACAATATTGAATGTGCCGAAATTATCATCGGTAAGTTTTCTTCGGAAAATTTGAGACTATGGCTAAGCTAGTAAGAAAAACACAGGGAAAATAGTTGTGCCGCTGTTGCCACTGTGATTTGTTCATAAATATGTTATACCTTTGACAAAGAGCTTCTTTTTTTCAAGTGTAGAACTGTATTTGAACGCTGAACTCCTGGTACTCTTGTTAGGATCGCATTTTGAAACGTACATGGGACGTCCTCTTATAGGTGTCCTATCTAATTTCAAAGCTTCCTTCACAGCTTCCTGTAAAATAGCAAGTTACATTTTAGCTTTACAGTTGTAAAATTTTAAGACGAGACACGAAATTAAATGTTACGATGATAATTTACACGTATATCTTTTACGGAATTATATATCTTACTTTTTCGCATTTTTATTGGAAGTTTCCGTTTACTAAACAATCACATATACGTACTGCGCTACTTAATTGCACATAGCAGTATCCTTTGCTACGTCCCTTGTAATCTTTAATCATTCTGAATGACGTTATCGGTTCAACGGGTTTTAGAACATCTCTTACTTCGTCTTCGGTCGCTGTGTAATCTAAATTGCTAACAAAAACTGTAATACTATCGTCTATTTCAGGTTGACTATCTTTATCGTCAGTATCTTTAATCTCTGTTGTTTTATAACCGGGCGGTGGTACGACTTCTGGCTTTGATTTCTCTTCCTCATTTGTCGTTTTGCTATCAACATTCAAGAAACTTTCTCGTAATTTTGGCCTCACTCGCACGTCCGTTTTCACGATTTTCGACGGAGAGCTTCCTAAATTTTTCCACTTGCCGTCGTCTGCTTTTCTTTTACTCGCTTTCCTGTCTTGTGTGGACGATTCGCTCTGAGAATGAACTTGCTGCGCCTTTTGTCTCTCTGCCATAATTTTATCGAGCTTGTCTTTCGTTTTCGCTTCGCAGAACTCCATTTGCTCCAAAGTCCCTTTATCGCGCTCGAAATCTATCCACGAGTTCGCTATACTTTCTGGCCAGTCTTGCGTGGAACCCAAGGCTTTCTGATACAGTTTCCTTAGGTGTTTTGAATCACCGTAACTTCTATAAATAAATGAGAAAAGATGCTTTAAAGAATAGAACAGAGTTACAAATATAAGTTATTTAAATCGAAATAATTACTTTTCTAGCACTATATATTCCAGCCAATAAGAAGCTGTCGCAGAATGCCCATGTGAGAGAATATCGGCCCACAATCTTCTCATTTGTTCCATATCATCCGCATGTATCGCTTCAAATCTCGCCCAATATTGCAAAATAACGCAATTGGGATCGCCGTCCAGACCGAAGTATTTCGCCAGGTGCTCGCACGCTCTGTTAAACGTTTTACGAATAACGTCTAGATATTTATCCCTCTCCTCGTCAGGATACTGCTCGATTCTGCGCCGCATACACTCGAGATACGCAAGCCACAGAGTGCGATAATCTTCCGCCGTTGAAAAGCCGGCGGACAACGCGCTCTCCAATATCGCCTGGACCTCCGATATATTTTTGTCCCACACCTCGTACGATCTCATCCACTTTTGCCAGACTGCCGAGCACCAGGGAATATTTCTCGACGCTCTTCGATAAACGGGGTCCAATACATGCGCGAGCCTCGATTTATTTTCTAGATAGGCGATGTAATCCAACCAAATTGACGTCTCTAAACTCAGCTCGGTTATCGCTCTTTCGTACAGAACTGTAACGAGATCCAAGTTGTTTTGCTTTATGTACAGTAGATATCCTTTGTAAGCGTCAAGCAGTTCACTGTGGCTCTGCGTGGAGACAAGCTTCTCCTCGTAAGGGAGGTACGACGTCAACTTTGCAGAGCTCTGTCTGTAGCACTTCAGAATGGACTTCTCGTCGGTGTCCACCTCGGCGCTGTACTTTGCGCACCACGACTGATACTCCTCGTGCGTCTTATCCATGTCTAAGAGAGGAATGGACAACTGATGCTTAAACAGACTGACGATGCGCTCCAACTGAGCCTTCTTTCTTCCGTTTTCAGTGTCGCCGTCCTAGAAATTCAAGATTAACCGATTACACAATACAGACAGCGTCAGCGCATTCACTTGTACCCCGAACCCCTTACCAGCGACGACAGGGAAGTAAGTATCATGTTCTCGTATTCGCGATACGCCTCCCAAATTATCGCTCCTTTCGTCACGTGCATTCCAACAGCAGTCAGCGCGCGATCGAAGAGCTGTCGAACTTCGTCGACCCTCCCCTCGTCCTTGCCCATGTACTCGATGACGAACTGCAGGTACTCCAGCCACACGTCCACGGCTGAAAGTAACAACGTCGCAACGATCACGATCTGCTTCGTCCACGCCGAGCGGAACCGCGGGACAACCCGGGGGGGCAAAACTTACATACGTAATCCTTGACTGCTCGCTCGCACAGCTCGACCACCTCGGCCTTCTGCTCGCCGGTGGTCGCCAACTTGATCTCGTCGCTTATCCAGACGAGCCAGAGCTCGGGGCTGAGCGGATACACGTTGCTCATGTTGTTCCTGGCGGCTCGCAGTCGGTCGAGCTCGCCCATCGTGTGCAGTTTGTTGATCAGGGCCACATGACTGGAATAGTCATACGGGTTCGCTGACAAGGAGGCTTCCAAGGATTTCACCTCCGCCTCGTTGACGTCCTCGTCGTCCTCGTCATTGTCGTCGTCGTCGTCGTCGCTCCCAGACACCGTCTCCGCCGCTCCCTTGTCGGCTCTCCCCTCGGTTTCGCTCGTCACCATCTCCTCGCCGCCCGAGGCTTCTCCCGGAGACACCTCCTCGTTCGCAGCGTCCATCTCCTCGTCCATTCCCCTCGCGATTCAAGCCGGCCAGGTGCAAACAGCCGCGGACGAGATGAAGCGCTCCGAAGTGTAAGCTGATCCGCCAACGCGCTTTCGCGAGCCGATTGAAGGTTATGTTTTCGTCTTCCTGCCTCTTTATCGACGGGGCGACTCGCTCCGTCCATTCGTTCGTGGAGGTTCCACGAGATGTCGTCGCTCGTCCGATCAGCTTGTCCTGTCACCGCGCGGCTCGTTGCCACGGTAACCGCGGACGCCAAAACAGATGTCACGTGGCCTCGCGCGACGCGCGAGATCGTGCTCGGCACAGTTCCGCGCGGCAAAAGGGCCGGGGGGGCGAGAAGGAACGCAGCTTGTTAGGGGCAAATCGTACGAACGAACAGTTTTGCACTGTTCGCTGAAATTTAAGTGATAAATTACCGTACGCCGTGAACAAATCGCGGTGAGATCGGAGCGAGACCCATCTCTTTCGTCTCCACGATCGCGGGCATGTCTTCCCCTCGCGTCGATTTCGTCGCCGGGCCCGCGCGACGCTCGCAGGACCAGACCGAGGTGGATTTCGGCCTCTGCTACGCGCACCCGGTGATCGACGACGACCGGGACACGAGCGAGGTGCTCACGCGGAGTAAAAGAGCCGCGCGAGGAGCGCCGGACGGTAGGGACTCGTCGTCGGCCGAGGACGGGCTTTACGTTCCCGAGAGCCCGTTCACCGACAAGCTGGTCAAGCCTTATCGGCTCGACGACGTGCGGCCGCCGGAGTACGAGTCGCGGCCGCGGTTCCGCGGGAAACTCGTCGAAATCGCGGTGCGGGACGTGCGCGTGCACGCGCCGCCCGGGGAGGATCGTCAGCCCGGGACGGCGCCCGAGATCGTCTCGGTCTCCGTGCTCTTCAAGGGCAGGCCGGTCTGCGCGGCGAACGGCCCGTTCAATCGGAAGCTGAACGCGCTACTGCTGAGGCACTCGGAGTGCCACAATCTCGCGATGCGGGTGCACGCGCGGCACGGGGCGTCCAGCGTGCTCCCGTTGCCGCTGCCCCGGCGCAGCGTTCGGGACCACAAGGTGGACATAGATTTCGCGATCGGCAACGGCTCGGGGATAATATACGCCGGGACTGTCGTCTGCACCGTCTCCCTGTCGACGTACGGCAGCAGCGAGCCCGAGGAGGAGAGCAGCGCGTGTCTTTACAGGCCGAGCAACGATCCGAACGATCCGCAGAACAGCCTCTCCCTATCGCGGCCTCGCCGACGTTCCGCCGGTAGTAGCAAGGACGTCAAGTATTTTCTGCTGACGGACCCGGCTCTGGTGTTCGACGCGGACGCTAGCGCGGCTCGCAGAGCGCCGCCGCCGTGCGCACCGAAGCCGCCGGACATGGTGGTGACGGAGCAGTCCGCGTTCTCCCTGCTGGACGTGTCCCTGAAGAATCTGTTCCAGGCTAGCCGGCCGCTCAGGCCGTCGTCCAGCGCTCGCAGGCATCACCCCGTAGGGCGGACGATCCTCGCCGTCACCGTGCTGCGAGGGGTGGAGGTGCCGGTGAGAGAGGAGTCGGCGCTGGTCAACCCCCTGCTGGAGGTGGGGTGGGGCAACGTCGTTCACGCGACCGCGACGGCGGAGGGGCCCGCGCCCATCTGGCAGCAGACCATGCACTTCGAGCTGCCCCGGCAGAACGGCGAGCACTGCGTGAAATTCCGCCTGTACGATCAGCACCCGGTCTGGGGCCAGCAGTGGCTGGGCGAGGCGAGGATACCCCTGGAGAGTCACAGGAATTATCAGGAGCTCGAGCGCTGGGTCGCCCTGTCCCCCCTCTTCAGCCCGGTCTTGTCGTTCGGCTACGTGCAGGCCAGCCCGGGGCGCTCGCACACCCGGATCTACGTGCTGATGAGGCTGGAGCAGCCCGGTAACGCCAAGTCCCTGGAAGCTAACGCCGTCGATACTTTGTTAAAGGGAATCCAACGCTGCCTGGCGACGCCTTACAGAGTGGCCGGTGTAGAGACCCCCGACGACGCTGCGCGGCTCGCCATGCTTCTACCGCCCTTGCCGATGCACTACGGCCCGGTCCCGCCGCGCCAGGCCTTGAGCGTCAACAAGGTGGATCACTACGGCAGAGCGGCCTTCCTGGCGACGCTGCTGCAAGGTTTCGGTTTGCAGTCGTATGTATTGTTAGGTACGTGGACCTGACGGAGCTCTAGCGACACGTGGTGCGACGGCACCTCGCTCTCGCGAGTCAACTCTCAGGAATAGTAAAGAATCACTTGTGGACGCAGGTTCTTCGCAAATAAGCCGATGGACCGCGTTTGTCTTGAGCATCGACGGAAACGACGTCGTCCTGTGGGACCCCGAGATCGGGGATCGCTATAAGTTGAGCGACAGTCGCTGTTCGCTGATGAAAGTGTCCCGGTTGATCAGTCACTCTGGCGTTAGTATGAAAAACGATTCGTTCTTTTCTCCAAACGATCCTAAATTTGCATCTCTTTCCCCTCGTGCCTTCTTCATTCTCCGTTTATAGGTTTCTTCTACTTTAGAATAGCGTCTCTATTGTAGATATGGGAGAACATGCAGAAATCGATTCTGCCTCACAATTTGAGGTACAACGTGACGATTAGCAAAGATTGGCGGCCGCTCGTGACCGTCGCCACGTCGGCCAGCAATCGATCCGTTCAGACGTTGGAACCGACGGCGATGCCGGTGCCCGAGGAAGCCGCGCAGGAGAAGGAAGGCGCGCCGGAAGTGGAGCAATATCTGCGGGACAAGTTGTCCGGCTGGCGCAGCGCCCTCGGTTTAACGACGATATTCAATCGTCACGCGGTCAGCGTTTTGCGAAGCTTCGTTGCCGACATTCCGAGCGACGTGGCGCGTCAGGTGGACAAGAGGGACCTGAAGCAATTGTACAGAGCCTATCACACGCACGGCTTCCTCCTGAACCTGCGCCAGACCGGCTTTGACGAACTGGCGGAGCAAATAGCCGCCACGAAGGTTCACAATATCACGGGCCCCGTCGAATTCGCTCTCGTTTGCCATGTACAACGATACGTTGGCAAGACGTGTTCGATATGGCTGGCACTGGCGATTTTACGAAGCCGCGGTTAATCGCGTCGATGTATGGAGGGAAGTCCCCTATTATATATTGTTTTTACTCGAAGTAATTTTATTATCTTCAAGATATATACAGCAAAAGAACACGGATAAAATTACTTTAAACATAATCTTTAATATCTAATAATTAAAAATCAGATGTTAACGAATAATAATAAACTTTGTAAAAAAAATCTTTCGTTGAAAGGACAAATAAACGTAAACGTGAAGAATCAACATAATGCATTTCTTTGCTTTAAGCATTGCGCAGCAATGCCATTTTTTTATAACAACTGCATCTTCCGTTACATTATAATGATATATATTGTATTTATATAAACACATTAACAATATAATTACCTAAAGAGAAATGTGTTAGGAGGAAACACACACGTGCTCCGCGCAAATGAACCATCGTCGCAAATGATTATCTCGTACAGTATTTTATTCAATTGTTAGCTGCCGTTTCGTAAATTTCCAGCTGAGAGTACAAATCGTACGCTGGACGAAGAGCAGATTCTCCACGATTTGCGATTCGTGATAAAACAATCAGCAGTGGCCATTTTCTCGGCTGCGTTTTTCATTCATTGTTACAAATTTTCTTCTATTGCTATTATAGTTCTTTTTGCGACGAAAGCGCGTCACTTGTATTGTACATATCTGGATTACTCGTTGTAGAAAAGCGCCGGTATAAAAACCTTCGTCTGACTAATCGATACATCTGTTTTTTTTTTTAATTTTTTAAATCCGTTATGCTTAAAAACGAATAGAAATCTGTCAACTACGTCATACGTGTGTGTTTGTTTCGACGAAAGCTACGTGTATCGCGTTTGCCTCCCCGTTTCCGTGCAGATCAAACAGGAATATAATTGCGTGATGCGAAACGGCACTTGCGAAATTTCATCGAATCAGTTTCAATATGCATTATACGCACGCACTCGCGCACCCACACCTCGTAATTTTCACAAGCTGACGGGTCGCATTGAATTTCGAGCTGTCCTCTCTGGAAAAAGAAAGGAAATTTTTCACCCACGGAAAATCTCGTTCGCCGTACCCTTTCCCTCCCCTTTCCCCTCCCTGACATTTGCCTATCTCCATTTACCTCTCTATTTTCATCTAAACACGCACACATACGCGCACATTTCCCTCCTCCCGTTACAGCTATTTTTTTTCCGGATAATCCTACATTTAGGGAGAAACTTATTTATCTACTCTGACTTCCTCTTGATCGTTTGCTTTTCCGATGGTATTTTGATATTTATCCTCACACGAGTGGTACATAAATCCTTCCGCTTCAGGCCCCTCCCCTCCCCCCGCCCCAAATACATACTCAAATGCGAACTCTCATCCCTGCAGGCCCATCGCGCTAATCACTACGAAACGCATTCGGTTCTGAACCGTCTCTTCAAGTATATGTCCGTTAATATATGTACAGTTGCTGGAATCAGCGTGGCGTCGCGAATGTACAATAGCTGATCCGATAACTTTGGAATCACGGTGCTAAATTTTCGTCTCGCGAAAGCACAAACCTGACAGTGTGTGCGGGATCTAAGCGAGAGAAATCCGTTTCTTTTCTTTCCCCTTGTCCCCGTTTTCGTGTTTTTTTTTAATTAATTTTCTTTCTTTTAATGCTAAAATCTACTCCCGTTGGCCACGGCGCGCCGCGCGACGCCGACTAAAATCCGTGACTATTCCTCCTGCGTCGTGCGTCGCGAGTGCCGTGGAACGGGCCTCCCGGTCGGGACGCCCTCGGGGAGAATCGCCTCATTGCTTCTTCTTGGACGTCTCGTTCGTGTAGCCGTTCGCGTGTCCGTTCGCATGCCCGTTCGCGACCTTCCCATTGCTGACCGCGCTGTCGAGCTGCGTGCTGATTTTGCCGGCGGCTCTTAGCCTTTCGAGCCGCTTCTCCGCGTACACCTGTTTACCCTGCGAACACACGTCAGTCACGGACCGATAACACACGGACGCCAGACAACGCGTCCCGGCCGCGTACGAAATCCTCGTCTCACCTTCGCGATGTAAGCTTTGGCGTAGAAGTTCCCGAAGAGGACGATGAAGGAGAGCATGTAGATGACGAGGGCGTACTGCATCCAGAGGGGGAAGTCGCATCCCGACCGGATGCCGTTGATCCCCAGAACCAAGGCGGTCGTGAACTGGATGAGCTGGAGGATCGTCAAGTACTTCTTCCACCAGAGGTACTTAGCCACCGAAGGGCCTAACGCGGTGAGTCCGTAGTACGAGTACATCAGCACGTGGATGAAGCTGTTCACCATCGCCGGCAGGAAAGCTGCAAGCGCGCACACGAATGTAAGGATCTCATCGCGGATACGTTTTCCCTCGGACAGCGAACTTGTCGTCGGTTTTAACGACATCGAAATGAGAATAAATAATGCTCGCTGCCTGGTTCTATTATAGAAGATAGAGCGTAATCAACGTTCAGCTGGAATTAATATCGAAGCGGAAGTACTTACTAGATCCACTCGGTACCCATTTAATGCCGATCCACCATAACGAGAACATGGTGGAGTGATGATAGACGTGGAGGAAGCTCAACTGATTGTCCTTCTTTCGCAAAATGAAGAAGAACGTATCGCAAAATTCCAGAAGCTTGCTAAAGTAGTACCACCAAACCGCGTTAGCGATCTAAACACAGAAAACACCCAATTTCTGGAAACACTTGGCTCGCATCGTTGGCATTCGGCAGAAATATTTCCCCATTAATATATAATTTATCCCAGATCGAGCATATTCTCTTTCACGCTCTCTCTTGGAACGCATATTCTTGTGTGTTGTCACATACTATCTAATAAATTAATTTCCCTTCTTTTCATACGCGTCAACCTACACTGATAAAAAGATAGCTTAATCCGAAAAAACATTATTCAAGAAAATTATTTATTAGGCGGCTCGACTCACTAACTTAAATTTAAAAGTAATAGACAAAGTAAAATACGCATTGTGTTAATTTAAGTATTTACTAAATATCAAAGAGTTAGATAATTTAAAATTAAAACAATTTTATTTTAATTCTATAAAATGTTTGCTAAGATGTAATTTTCACCGCGAAGAAAATTGAATTTCTTATTTAACAAAAACAATTATTTCATTTAATAAATAGTATTCTCAAACAATTTTTTAAGTAAAGCTATTTACTTAATTAAAAATTTTTTTGTCAGTGCAGTTTTAGCATAAAAAAATAAGACTCATAATGGGAATGACGTGTAGATTTATGTTAACGAATAATTAGTAATGGTAAGACCTTTGGTTTTTGTATGATAATTTATGATAATTCTCTCACCTGAAGCTCATCGGGTCGGGTGATGTGCCTTATTGGCTGGCATACATAACTATATCGTAACCTTGTGGAAGCTACGAACAACTGCAAAGAATACAAGAGAGACGCCAGATAAGCGATAGAAGAAACTTACTTTCGAGTGAAAGTGAGTGCATTGAGATAAAAGAAAAATGAAGGCAAGCCTCCGTGATATTTTCCCATCGTCGCGGATAGGAAACGATATTCACCTGAATGGCAATATAAGCATTGAGAGAGGCCATGGCAAGGTTGTAGGGCACCAATGCCCATGTTAATTTGAAGGCTTTTCGTTTCTTCATAACCCTAGGACCCGCCCAAACGATGAGGAGGTAGAACATCGTGTATATTAACGTCGGTTTCGGCGAGTCAACCAATAACCATCCCCTCGTCCTCTCGTCTAAAATCGAATGTACGATCAACACGCGTTTTATGAAGAATCCCCGCTCCTATTCGTTATAATTGAAGCAACTCCTGTTTTTCACGTTTACAATTATACAAGACTAGCATATCGCCAAAGTTACGTAAATTAAAACTTGTTAAAAATACCTAGGCAACACCACGAGACATTTATTTAAAAGTTAATAATTTAATGCTCGGGATATCGCGAAATTTTTGACGAATTACCTGCGAGGGACAGCGTCCAGAGGTAGTAATCGTACGCATCGCTGATGAACTGTGATGTCGAATTAATGAGGTTCGCCATCGCCTGCAACATAAAAAGTAACGGGCTCCAGTTGTATTTCTAAACGATTAGAACGAGTAACTTTCGGCTTTTATTATAAAGGCATTATTTTACTGATATGATAAGCCGGCGCATGTACGTTATTTTATGGTAAATGAGTTAATGAGACGGTGCTTATATATTGCACTTGTGCGCTTTAAAATCGCTTCGACCAAATCGAGGCTCTTGAACAAAACGAGACGTTATGCTCAAGCGCAGCTTTTTTTTGTTTATAATTGTTTGCCTTTGCATTTTATCGCTGGGGTACACGGTGTTCTTTATACCCACGTAGCAAATCGGATGAACGCGCGATCGAAAATTGCCACCTCATGCGAAATAATTAAGTCACTGCATTCTAATGCGTGTGTGTTGATTTGAAAGAAACGCAACGAGCTCTTCAATTTTAATTGTCTCCTTATACCTTTCTCTAAAAGACATATTTTTGAAAATATATTTCAATACATTTATTATTCTGTAATATATTTTAATATATATTACGTTGCAGGAGAAAGTACGCCCGTTCAGGGCGAACAAGATCGCTGCGTTTAAACGTGCGTGATATCAAAACATTTGAAAGATCGACAGTCGAGCGGTTGAACGAAACATGCTGTACATGCATCAGCTCGCAATTAGTTTTTAATAGCTATTTCCTCGATGCACATCATCCGGTCGTTCACTCGCCGTATATACCGCGGAACATAACTTTCACGCTCCGAAGAAACTATTACCGCTATCTCCCGAAGTCGCTGTAAACGTGTCCCGCCGCGAACACTTGTTTCTTTCTGTATATTTTTCTCTCTTTCTTTCTCCAAGCGGTTTGTTGTCAAGTCGACGATCCATCAACTAAGCATATCCTTTGAGGAAAGTTACTTTCCTTGAGCGAGCGATTTCGCATCGAACCCGTGGCGTAATTGTTGCGATTCCGGAGCTACGCCGTGTTTAAGGAGGGAACAAATTAAGCAGTGGTACTCCCGATCTATTTTGCAATGGAAATCAGATTGTTCGGATTTCGCAAAGCGATGAAAGAGATCTCGTCTCTTAGCGCAAAAGATAAGGCTCTGCGGAGAAGACACGAGATATATGTTTCGGAAAGATTATCTCGGAGAGATAAGGCTGCAAAATTTAAAAAAAAAAAACATCGGAGAATCTTCTCTCTGGGTGAAAACCGAGAGACTTTCTACAAAATTTTCGATGGCTATGAATTTTCATGGCGCACAACAAGTCATTACTTCCCCGTACATTACAAGTATAATTGCATTATCCCATACCAGCATTTATAAATTTGCCAGTCAATGTGATTGCATGTACGTACGCACTCCTGCGCCTGTATGCATAATCTCTGAAGATCAATTAGCGGATTATCACTGAAAACAGTGGATAGTTTTTTTCATTATTCACTAATTTGCAATTATAAGTATACCGCTGCAATTTCCAGTAGTATATTTACAACTGCAAATCAGTATCTGAGAAACATGAAATATCTCGTTATATATGTCTCACAATCGTGTAATATCTAATTATATGCAATTTTTAAATCATCAATTCTTCAGAGATCTGACACTTTTGTTGAATATTCAATGTTATCTATGGAGATCTAATTACGTCCTTTCGAGACATTTAATTATACATATAGGCCGGTATTCATAGTCAGATCTTGTATTCAAGACCGTCTTAAGGTCATCTTTAGATACTCCGTAGCCAATGAAATGTTCCATACAGCATCTTTAGATAAATTCAAGACGGTCTTGAATAGAAGATCCGACTATGAATACCGGCCTTAGTTAGATCTCAGCGTTCAGAAACATCACCCGAGTGCCCCTGTATATCATTTTATCCTTGTTGCTCTTCATATGTTAAACAAGGATAAAATGATACACTTGTGCATTCGGGTGACGTTTCTGAACGCAGCCTGAAGAAAGTGTCAAATCTCTGAGGATCTGATGATCTTTAGAATCGAAAGTCTTGAGATATAATTAGATATTACTTGATTGAGACGTGTATAATGAGAATTTTCCATTTTCCTCCCGGGTACTCACTGTTTTCAGTGTTAATTCGCTGATGGACTTTTAGAGAGTCCGAGCGATATCGAGCGTTTCCGAATGTTGTAATACGCTACGTCAAGTACTATCTGATTATCATCGCCGGGGAAGATTAAACTCTCGGCAGAATTTGATTGAAAATTCGTATTTGCTGTCGCTCACGCGAAAAACAAATAAATAATGACACATACAGACCCTCAAGACCTTCCCCCTTTTACGCGGATGATAAATCGAGAGAGGATGTGAAAGCTCTTTAACTAATAACGAAGAAAATCGCACATTCTTGATCAAAGTCTAAGCATTTAAATTCCCAATAACTCATGGCGCAGCGTTTCTCCTTTTACACGCGAGCCGAGTCAGCGAATATTAATGACAATGCTAATGATGATGATCTAGTATTTGGCACAAAAGTAATTTGCATTGCACCGAGTTATTAATAACGGGAAAATGCGATTATTCGTTTAATGTAAATAACTGCGTCGATTCTTCGTCGCAATTAATTATTAATACGGCCATTAAGCACCGTATGATACGTGACAATGTGAAAACTGCACTTTCATTTTGGACAGAGAGGCACAGATGAGCGTAGGCAGAGGCGAATGAGAGAGATCTTTGAAATTCTTCGTTCAAGTGAACCTTGATCTTCATTCAAATGCATCTTATTCATAACGACAGATGTAGATTCGCGAAGCAGACGTGCAATACGAATCTAGCGAAAGTTAAGCTTGTAATGGGCGATGTAAGTACAAATTTGTATAAATGATTCGATAAATCTGTAAGAAGCTTATTAATAGAGACATCCTCTTTTTAAGGATTTGCTTTTTTGACAGAAAAAGAGAAGGAGGAGGAGAAAATAGCGCTCGTAGAGATTTATTTACGACAGCGGAGAATTTATCTCTAAGATTGACGATGGGAGAATTATAAACGTTCTTTTGAAGGAAACACCTTACATTAATGGAACAGTAAATTTCTTATACTCTCAATATACACATTTACGTTGGCATGCATATAATTTATATTGACATAATTTCCTTAATTTGCATATTACGCTTTGAAATGGAGATATGCAAAAGAATTCACCACTCGTGTGTCAATGTACTTATAATGCTTGTAAACGCTCTATTAATGACGAATATTTAAATAAAATATCCCCTTTGACTTCGGTTTTTGAAATATTTTCAACATATACTTTTCTCGTACACTGCAAAAATAGTATAAACTTATTCCTCTAACTATTATCCGAATTTAATATTTTTAACAGTGTCTTGATAAGATATTTTCCGATTTTATTACCGGCGTTTCTTTCAGCTGTTCGTCGTAAAAAATTGCGTAACATGATTATATTGCAAACGAAATTAGGGTAACTTTACGTTGCGAAATATTATTTAGTGCTTACTCGAGATTTTTAAGAATTAGCCGGCGGATTTGCACAACAGTTGCATATTGCCAAATGCGATATTGCGACATTTTCTTCGTTCAAAAGCAAAATTACAAATCCATTCGAATAGATCACGCTCGTACAATATGCACTAACATACAAAGAAAGTCTGTAGGAAGTGGTTACACACGAGGGCTTTCCGGAATTCTTAAAACAAGAAAAATGATCGCTCCACGTTACTTTGCGACATAAAATGGGTCTCTGTGAAAAAAAACCTGCTTCTTATGTAATTACTAATTACCTCCACATTTTGCACAGCGCTAATTAAACGCTATCGGGGAAGAACTTGTCAATCAAGCTTGCTAACAGCCCATGCGCATATCTGACTTGTGCCCATTTTTCTACCAAACGCAGATCAATTTTAATCCCTGTTTAACCAAGCTTTTATCTTTTTCCAATTCCCGAGGGTGGAAAAAGATACAAGGTAAGTTAAACCGAGATCAAAGTCAATCCGCATTGGTAGAAATGGGCATCGGAGAATGATCTTGTCCAGGGAGTTTTCTTTAGTTAGTACCTTAGTACCTTATAGCGAAAAATTCGGCAGCTTGCGTTAGTGCGAAAGTGCGCACCAAGGCTTGTTCAGGGTCCACTATTACATTTATAGTCATCTCAAGTACACGTCCAAGAACTATTTAGCCAAAAAAAAAGATCCTTACGAATGCTATACAGATCATTTTACTGGCTAAGAAGTATTTTAAAAAGTATTTAAGACGATCGTCAAACATAAGAGTTGACTGTAAAGAAGTCTTAGTGCGCACTGCCCAGTGAGAAATGATTCGTTGATCGATGTCGAATCGACGTCCAACATCGATCGACGAATCGTCTCTCGCTGGGTGGTGCAAGCTGCCGAATTCGCTATCATGTAGTACCTTATGTCACGAGTTCGGATCCTTGTCTTCTCCGTGCGTGCAAAGGTGCGTAGTCGCGTGCCGGGATCGTCTCCAGGAGTGTTACAACCGCACCCGCGACTCCACGTCAAAATGACATGGCCCGACGACCGTGCGCCTCGGAGGATGACACCGCGCGAGAGGTGTCCGTCGGGGAAAAAGTGCCTCTCCTCTTCTCTCACGGAAAGCGGGAGACAAACCGTGGCACGTTGTAGTCGCCCGACAAAGTGGCAGCGCCGCGCACCAGCTTAGCCGGTCTGCTTTATAACTTTGGTGCCTTGGTATCCTATGGCTGGTGGCTTTGGTGGTGGTCAACCGGGCACGTCGGAGGTGGTATCTTCCGCGAGCGTAAGCGATGTAAACGCAAACGAGGCCAAAACCGCGGGTCGTGGTGGGAATCGATCGTGGGGATAAATCAGCCGAGATCGGTCAAGGCGAAATGCGCGTGGAGGTAGGATCGTGGATCCCCAAGATCCCACCCTCTGCCGGCCGCCAATCTGCTTCCCCGCTATCGCCGATCTCGCGATTTCTACTTCCGCTCGCGGTTTGATGAACTCGAGTCCGTAGACGATTTTTCGTGCAGATTAAGCCTCTCAAATAAGATGAATTAAACATACCGGAGTGAGAGAACGCGCCCGTACATTGTAATTTTCACTTTTCCAAGCCGGCCCTCTCTTCTCATCATCTTTTTATCTAAGCACCGCGAATGCGTTCTTAGCAGTGTTCGCGTATTTTATTATTATACAATTTACCACTTTTGCTAAAATGATGCAATGCCAAACGAAACTTAACGTTGGGGCTAAGAAAATCAGGAAGCGGGCCCGATCGCGCTTGAACGAAAGTTACGATTCAGTGAAAACAATACACTCTTCAACGGCGGGGATATACTTCAGCGGGCAACTCGCCGATTTCATCGTTCCATGCGCTGTCGTTGTCAAAATAAGCAATCGAGTCTGTGATAATCCTATTAAAAAAAAAAGATGCCTCTCATCGTCAGGAATCTACTTTGTAATTGTGCTGCTGTCGACGTATTACAATCAATCATCGATCATTACACGCGATAACGTCGACGAGAACATCAGTCGCACGGTGAATAAGTGAGACAACGTCTCGGGAAAATTTGTCGAATAAAAATGTGCCGGGACGATTCATCTTTCGGACCCGATGGCGGAATGCTGTCATGTAGGTACCACCAGCTACACGTTGCTGTTGTAGCCTCGTTTCCCAGGCGAGAGTCGTACAGCATCTCCACCACGTTCCTCCACGCGGCCTCCTCACAGCCGTTTTTGCAACCCGGGAGCCCACGTGTCAGAAAAGTGGGCGCTGAAAACGTCGCGGCAAGGACGAGGGGGACGCGAGAAGTATCGAGATTCCCTCTCGTTAACCTTAGAAAATATTACCTTAGGATAAGCAGCGATCTCCAAACGATACGTGAAATCGGCGCGCGTTAGAAAATGATGGAGCATAAATAGAAAGGATCCAAGTCTGTGCTCGCAGTCGACAAATTGAGCCTTGATTTGATTCCCTCGGCGCGGCGGAGAGAACATTATCTCCCTTTAAATATCGTTTTCCAAAACGTCCGGCGGAGAGGGAGAGATGCGAAAGGTCTCTTGTTTTACTGGCCGCTCCAAAATGCAAGTTCGACGGCCGAAAAGAGGATATCTCCTCGTCGGCACGACGAAACGAAAATTTTTCTCTATGCAGCTTCGGCAAACGTGACGCGAAAAGAAAAACGGCGATCAAGGAGAAAGCGACGTGGAACGCACAAAACCTATGTCAACGATAATTCCGGTGAATTGAAACGGGTCAATGGACCGCTCGCCGACTGTGTAGCACGGTTCCAAAATCCAAATAGTTCGGTCCACGCACCGAGGCCTCTATCGGTTCCTGTTTACCTTTCACCTAGTCATGATTTACCATTTACGCTTAAATGGACCGGCACCACTTATCTGTGAATTCGCAGATTTCACCGACACCGCTAGTAAAAACTGTCTCGCACAATAAAAAGCTTGTACGTCCGTTCTGTCGCCGATAATCGATTCGCGCGACTCGCGGAGAGGATGACGTTTCTTCCGCCGGATTGCCGGAAAGATAAACAGGCTCTTCTCGAAATTTTTTACGCGGAAACCTCGACGGGCAAGAAGAGGCGGATTACATAAGGATTTCGTTACGCGGCAAACCTTGGAACGTGCATGAGAAGTGCAAACTAGTTTCGACACATGTAGTTGACTGTCGCAGAGCTAGAAACGTAAAACCCTCCCCATGTTTCCATTACTTCTACGCGAAGTAATTAAGCAAAAGGCAAGAGCACACTTTTGCGCGGACAATTGCGAAACGAAATGACGTTTCATAAGCTTCACTCAAGGGGGTAACCACTAGCTAAAATGTTGTCCCGCCGATTACATGATTTCATTTGATTTCATCTGATTACAAATAATCTCATCTAATTGCAAATAATTTTCTCCTACATGCACGTTTAAAAATAGCTGACGTTGTTAAACCTCAAAATATATTCTTCTTATTTTACTAAGAAGTATTTGCTTGTAGAAGTAATTTCCCAGATAGCACAAGACGCTCCTATAAACATTCTAAGAATATTCTTCAAGAATAACGTAAAGAATTATTTAACGCCAGTAATTGATTAAACAATGCAGAAAAATTGCATGACGACCAATGGCTGGCAAATTCTAACTAACGAAATTATAACTTCATTGCGAAAAATATCCCTACCAACCAGGTTCAAACCCTGGCTGAGGTAATATTTTCCGCACTGAATTTCTTTAATTAGAATTTGCCAGCCATTGGTCGTCATGCAATTTTTCCACATTGATTCTTCAAGAATATTTGGAATATTCCATAGGTTATTCCTTTATATTTATCTTATGTTAATTGTAATATTCGATTGGAATACTCTGAAATTAAGAATATTTGGACTCCGGAAGAATATTCATAGAACTATGTGTGCTATCTGGGCACTGATGTCTAGCCATATCAATTTAGGCACATACAGAATTTTATTATATTACATATACATTTTCCATGTATGTTCAGCATTGTATGCAAAATGTGTCGATATGTGCATAAATTCAACGTGGGGAGTCGGTCACTCCTAGTATACTACTCACTGAAAAATGATTCGTCGATCGATGTCGAAACGATGTCGAGTTGACGTCAATTTGACGGTGTCAATGTCGATTCGACATCGTTTTGACATCGATCGACGAATCACTTCTCACTGGGTACGCGTTTCGACATTCGGTTCAATGACATTACTAAAATATATACCCGCGAGAAATTCTACGCCGGAAAGACAATTATTAAGTGCTCCCATTCGGCACGCGATACTGCAGAAATATTGTAATTTTCCGAGGTGGTACAGAAATATTTCGTTAACATATCAATTTTGACCTTGCAACTGAAATATCTCACAAACGTACCTTCGTCATGTTTTTCATAAAATTGGATTACAATATTTCTGTAAGTGTGAGCGCGCATGCACACATATGCACACACCACACACTCCACACACCAAGGTCCACACACCACTTAGTGTAATCATGGGACAGTGTCTCCGAAATCATTATGAAGTCCTTACGAAATTTCCATGTAATCGTTTTGTCTTCATTTTCAAGTTTCTTCACTTGTTAGACAATGGACATTAAATTTGAACATTTTCTCAACTTGTTTTCATTTTCCCACAAAATTTACTTCTTTCAGTGAATATCCAAATATATACCATAGTTTACGCCTATAAGCGCGTATTTTAATTGAAATTACCTGTGCAAGTAAATATTTATTAAAAGTAAAATCAAAAAGATATAATGTTTTGAGGAAATCTAACGGCTCTTAACAACGTCGCCTATTTTTAAACGGGCATATAAAATAATTATTTGCAATTAGATGAAATTATTTGTAATCGAATGAACTCGTATGAAATATAATGAAATCATGTCATCGGTGGGATAACGTTTTGGCTAATGGTCACCCCCTTGCCACACACTCCAGACACTAAATATGTTTGTAATATTATTGCAATATTTCTTAAACGTTATAAAGACGTGTTATGCAACATAAGCAAGAAGGAAACGTCAGAGCCAGAGGATCAGCTAGCCTGTCCGATCAACGAAGTCAAGCAACGTCGAGCATGGTTTCTACTTGGATGAGTGACCGCGATAGTGGCTATTTGCACCCGGCCGCGAAAATGTTATTAGTTCTTTGATAATCTTCAAATCCAACATTTATTCACGATAAAATTTATATTTTTCGAAATATTTTGACGAAACATTTTATAAACATTTGCGATTAATCTCTCTGGTCTATTCAATCTGAGACCACAAAACTATCTATGAAATATCTCTCTCTTGATAAATATTTATAAAATATAAAAATAAATAACGTAAAGAATTATTTAACGCCAGTAATTGATTAAACAATGTAGAAAAACTGCATGACGACCAATGGCTGGCAAATTCTAATTAAAGAAATTCACTGCGAAAAATATTACTTCAGCCAGGATTTGAACCTGGACCTCCCTACACTCTCTAGGGCTCAGTGGTCGAATTGGTGACACGCCCGCCACCCTGGCTGAGGTAATATTTTTCGCAATGAATTTCTTTAATTAGAATTTGCCAGCTATTGGTCGTCATGCAGTTTTTCTACATTGTATAATAAAAATAAATCTTGAAAATATTTTGTACATATTTTATAATTATTGTGTGCTGTATGGGTTGTTGAATGGTAACGACACAATAACATTGTCAATAAGTCAGACTCCTTGATAACATCTGACACGTGACAGCTACGGATTGCAGCGTGACAGTTGTCCGACGGCTAATTTATATGCCGCGCGCGAATAATTTTAATAACACGGTTTAAGGATGGAAGATTCGGTGTATCAGCGCAATTTGAATATCTTCGTAATTTAATGTACTGGTTTTGCCGCTTCACGAACCTCACCAAGATGTAATAATAAAAATACGAAGCAAAACGGAACCTGTTTCGCGCGATAGTGGGCCGACGGAAGCCCGGACCGTCATCAGCAGGTGAGATACTGGGTTACTGGGTACCGATGTTCGTCGACGATATCGCCGTATCAAGCTGAACGAGTGTCGGCATTGTCGACAAATTGCTCTTTTTATTCAGCACGAGGCAGAAGCAACCAAAGATGGGCAGGAAGAAAAAGGTCACCCGGAATCGGGTTGACAGAGAAGAAAGCGATCACCTATCATTTTCAGCGATGGTCCCTGTACTCGATTAATTTCTAAC